TTTAGACGTCATTATTGGACCATTATTTAGACGTTGAAATGACGTCCACGTTTGTACCTCATCGTCACAAAAATACGCTAAATAGATGTAATTTTGACGTCGCATTCCGCAGTGGGGATAGTCGACTTTTCAGGAAGGAAGGTTAAGGGATTTGGTCACAAGCTGTATTTACACTTTTCCTTTAGACGATTTAAAGTAAAACTGATGAAAGGATGTTTTGAAAATCTGCTTCTTCAACATCCGGCGCTGAACGAACAGCTGCCCTTTACAGGAGCTCCACGAACTCTAAGGAGTTTTTTTTCCTCTTTTTTCTATTTCTTTTGCATTTTTGTGATATTTTATCTTTTTTTTTATATCTTTTAACTCCTAGGTTTCTTCATTCTTTAATTTCTCTTCTGTATTTATCGATGCTGTAAATTTGGAATTTCCCCTTGTGGGATAAATAAAGGAATATCTTATCAACTTCACAAAAATGTTGATTTAATAAAAACAGAAGAATCATGAGAACTTTGACCCTCCAGAGACTCTTAAAAACCACATGAAACAGACTGTAACACAGTGTTTTCATAAAGGACTGAAAAAAACCAGAATAATTGATTTATGATCTTTAAAAGATTCACTAACTTTTATGGATATCGTGGTTCAAAACAAAAGAGCAGATTGAACAAACCACGTCTGCTTTCTCGCTCACGTCAGTAATGAAGACAAAGCGAGGGAACGCCAGCGACAAATACCAGGAAATAAAAATGAGCAAAGTATCCAAACCAAATGAAAGACTGTTCATAATCGGGTTAGTAATGTCTCTGGCACCGTCTGCTCGGTCATTTCCTCCAATCTCACTGAGCACCAGGGGACCCAACAGGCGACGCTCAAACCAGGAGCTCTCTCGCCACGGCGTGACAGGCCGCCGTCACCGCCTTCAACACCGGCTCTGACGGCAGGAAGCTGGGAGAGGAAGACGGCGAGGCCGTGTGCGGGTGTAAAACAGGCAGCGACTTCACAAATCTTTGGATGATTGGTGACCCTTTTGTGGACAGCGAAATGGTGAAATCATGCACCCATAACTTCTCACTTAATCTGTATTACTCTCATCACAACAGAGCAAGCCACTCTATCAGTAAATGCTAATCTGCTAATTAACAAGCTAATTAGGCAATTACAGCTTTGCAGAAGGATGCCTAAATGAAATATGACAACACAGTCACTTTCTACAGCACCTGTGGGTCTTTTCAGATGTCACAACCAGAAGCATGATGACAAAGTGTTGTCTCTGCGCTCGTAGGTGCTAATTCTTATGCCTGGCTCGGCTCATTTGTAAAAATATTGTCATTTTGTTTAACCTAATGTACAGAGCGCGCAGAAACAACTCGTCAAAGTGCACGTCATTTATCCTCTCCTCAAACAGACTGACCTGCAGCTTTTTGTTTTCTCCTTTTGAAACGAAGCGGACGGCGAGCGGCTCTTCTTTGCGGTGACGTAAACAAGGTTTGGTGAAACGGTAGCGCCTCGGTGTCTGAGCGTAAGGAGCTGTCACATGTGGAAATGAATTATGTTGACATATGGCTGAAAACAGCGGTGAATAGGCTCGGCTATGCAATGCAATGAAGAATCATGCACTGCAACAGAGGAGAGGAGCCCGAGCTGTACCTTTGAGCCCTGCCTGACAGGTATGCAGTGAGACCTGACAGCTCAGTATTTCTGTGATAAATGCAGTAGTCCTGGGACTCCCAGTCGCTAAACTCAAATGTGTGCTGCTCCCAGACTTCAAGGTCAAACCAGCGAGCAGAACACACACACACACGCGCACGCACACACACGCACACACACACACGCGCACGCACACACACGGGACGCCACAGACGGTTTTTAGCCCAGATTGAAAAGTTGAGACACAAAGACTTGGTAACTTTTGATTCGGACTCAGAAAGAGTCAAAGAAAACTGTAAACATCGGCGGTATCTTCAGATCTCCTTTAAATGAACGAGTGAAAACTGTTTTAACGAAACATGACGTTAAATCAGAGCCGGCCCGAACCTCAATGGGCTCTAAGCAAAATGTGATTTTAGGGCCCTCTATTTCTGCCAATAATATTGATTGTTGATCAGTCACACACCTTCACAAATCTCTTTGATTAACATTCCCTGACATACAAACAAACATTTATCTTGGCGTTTTTTCTCTTCTTTTTTTTTGCCCCAAAACTACCTGATCTTTGGATGCTCAGCGCAGATCTCACAGCAGGAGGAACATAACGGTGGGCGGAGCTTTGACATAGCGGCAGTAGGAATCATCGGCCTACATCAGTGGCAGCACTAAAATGTTTTTATTTTATTTTATGTTTACAATAATATATATTTGATCAGACAGAAAGCATCACTCATACATGCAAAAAATTAAAAATATTATTATTTTTTTTTGGATTGCTCTTGGGGGCCCCCTACTGGCCGCGGAGCCCTCAGCAGGCGCTTAGTTTGCTTATGCCTCGGGCCGGCTCTGTGTTAAATTAAAAAAAATCCTGAAATCAAATGAGCCAGAGTTACTCTTAATGTCCAAACATCTTTAACCAATCAGAGGGATTTTCTTATTCTTATATTTTAAAGCTCCTGTGAGGAATTTTTCAGTCTGTGTTGATTCTGGCGCCCCCTTGTGGACAGAGCAGTCTTTGCTCATCATGTCCTCTATATTCTAAAGTGACAAAAACTCATTACTCTGACTCTTGACAGTCACGTGATTCATGTAGTTTGAATATTTTTAATTAAAATGTTTAATTGAGTTTCCTGCAGCTGATTGGCCGATGTCGCACAGATTTCGGTCATTAAAATTACGACAATAACACGCTCAGAATTATCACTGATGGTCGACTTTTTGTTTCTGTGCATCTTAAAAAGGCAGCGATATAAATTTCTGTTTATTCTGTAATTGTCAAAAAAATCACCACAGGAGCTTTAAAGTTTAAAAACGTTTAAAAATAATAATTAATCCTGAGAGCGAGTCAATTATTCAATGATTAAATGTGAAGTTAATTTTTTGGGGGGTTTATTTGAGAATTTCTTCACCTGCAAACTGAACTTCAAGGATGCAAACGACACCATGTTATTTTTTTTATAATTTGAACTGTTTATGAAACGTGTTTTTGCTCATTTCACTTTTAAAAAAACAGTTTTAACTTTTCAAGAACATAATTTATACATAAATGATGAAATACTCTTTGTGTTGTTTGTATGTTCAACTGTTTTAACTTGTCTGTTTTATATATATATTTAAAATAAATCATTTCAGGTCACCTCACCTCCGTGTCTTTGTGTGTTTTATTTTCTTTGTCTGAGAGTCTTAAATCATGAAGTCTGAAACTAACCCAGTCCCTGTTAACACCGCTGTAGCTGACAAGCTTTATCGATCTGCAGCGCTCCGAACAATATTCACCGGGGGAAATCTGCTGCAGGTTTAGAAACAGTCCGTGTTCATGAAGACGTACAGAGGTCCAAAATAAATGCAGAATACAAACATGAAACGTGATGAAACGTTTGTTTCGGTGAGTGTTTCAGATCAGTTAGACCTGCTCTACTGTATAAAACTCTGGAGAAACTCACCATAAAGACAGAATCTCAGGATCCTCCAGTTCTGGATCTTTGTTGGTGCGTCTCCATCACAGATAAACTTCTCCACTTGGACTCGATCTCAGCATCACCCTGCAGACGAACAGTTACACATTATTTTACAGGTTTGGACCAAATTTCATCATCTGTGTTTTTCATCATAAAGTATTCAGATCAGAGCCAAATCACAACAATCAAACACAGAGAAAGTCAGAGTCTGAGGTCAGTCTGCTGCGTCTAAAACTTCAGGGAACTTCGTTAACGAACCAACAAAGAAGAAGAAAAAAACATCTCATCTAGAGTTCAGACTTCAAACTTCAACCATAAATCTAAACATGTGGTTGAGGGTCCCCTGTGTTTGTTTTTCATGGAGCCCAAAATCTGTAGCAGTGCCCCTGATCACTGACTCTGGAGCTCCGACATGAAATCTCTCCCCCTGCAGTTCAAGATCCTCCGTTTCCACTGAGACCAGAGAGGATGAGCTGGACCTGAACTGAAGTCTCAAACTCATATTTTAAAACGTGGGACGATCCTGCAACTAAAAAAACAAGAAAGAGGAAGAGAGAGTGAAATAAATCACTCTGTTGCACATTTCTTCATCGTGTTTTCTTTTCTTTTAAACCAGGATCAGAGTAACTCGGTTCATCTGCATCTATAATCATTCTCTAAGAGGAGAATTCACCACCTTAAATTCTTAAAATAGGCTTTTATCCCTAAGTTTATTGTGCACATATCCCACTGAGGCCACTCTGGGTTACTCCAAACTACTTAGTAATGTTTAATAGAGTTATGAATCTGCTGATGTTTAGTTTCCGGAGGAAATCCAACCCCCCGTGTTTATTTTAGCTGCTTTAAAGTTCACGTTTATATCCATGCAGACTTTATCTGGGCTTCGTTAAATGACTTTACCGTCATTAATCATTAAACCCGAATCACACTGACCTCCTCTGTAGGCCTCAAACTGCAGCAGTCCCTCCTTTCACACAGACTGACAGACCTCCTCCTCCTCCTCCAAATCAAAGATCCCAAATATGAATAAAAACTCACATTTTTTACACTCTCTAATGAACTCGTGCTCCACTTGCTTATTTTAGGAGGTGCACAGTATATTTGCTGCCTTGCATCCAGCTCAACAACTTGTCTGCTGCCATAGCAACTGCGGAGGAGCACGGAGCAGCGCCGCCTGCTTGTGCAATGGATGTCACTCGTGGCAACGACCAATCAGAAGTTCCCATCCTTTTGTACAAGCGGTGTGAAGATGGAGGGATGGAGTGGGTGGGCTCTCGGCATCATGCATCTGCCAGTAATAGGGCGGTGGGCTCGTCAGTCTCCGTCAGTCCGGGCTGTGATTGGTCGCCGAGCTTTACTTTCCAATAATATAAACATGTCTACTGCCTGCCTGGCTGGAAGCAGGGCTCCTTACAAGGGACTATGCAGTTCTACATCAAACTGTATAAAAACTCTCATTATGTATTTGCCTGTGTGCTCGCGGGGCTAAATCTTTATTATTGCTGCTAGGGAATATGCACACAGCTGCACGTGCACGCGTGAGGAAACGAGGATCTCGTGCTGCTTCTGCTGCTGCTGCCGCGAGACAGAGAGGGGACTGTGGCGTGTTTTCATCATTATAATCACCATCCTAAGTACTAGCTCTTAACATTTTGTTTTTCGGTGTTCAGGCGAGAAGTGACAAGAATATAGACCCCTCCTCTGCAGGGCGGAGCGTGCATTTTCACTCCGTGTTTTCTATTTTTTATTTTTTTATTTTTTCTCTCCTCTCCTCTCCTCCTCTCCTCTCTCGCCCTGTTCCCTGCTCTGACACGTCTGCACTGAGTGAGTGGCATTGGCACACTGTCAATCGCTCACTCCCGCTGCCATCAAACAACATAAAACACACACAGGCAGAGGCTGGAGCTCATAAATTTCAGCAGGGCTACATCTTTTTTGCGCATCGCCTTTACGCAGCGTTGTGTCCTCATTAATTTCTTCTTTTTTTTTCTAGACACAACTTTTTTTTTTTACATTTCATATTTTTATAGTCATATTTGGACACCTTACGCCGCAAGATTGTGCATTTTTTTCTAAATACTGTCAGCTGTCGCGGGAATCATTTCTGCACATTTATAGTTGGCAACACCTGCGAGATTTTTCTACACTGTGTTTGCACGTTTGGATATTTTTTTTTTGTTGTTGTTGCTGTTGCCGGTGCTTCCCGAGGAGGATTTGGACATTTTATTTTGGAGAGGAAATGCGCCGGGAATCCCACGAAGAGCGCAAATAAATGAGAGATCACCGGGAGCGTTTGTGTCTGTAGCAGCCGTCAAATCCACGAGAAAAGACTGATTGGCACGAGGATCCGCGCGGGGAAACGATGGACCGGCAATTTTGACAAAGAAGTGTCAAAAGAAGACTGAAGATTTATGCGTTTTTCTTCACGCATATCCACGCGTTTTGGCACTTTGGACCGCGCGTAAAAAAAGCGACAGGACAGCGAGAACTTGGACACAAGATTTACGCGTGAACGTCTCTGCTCCGTGTTTTTATTTTTCATCCAAAAGAAGAGAAACGTGTGCGCGCTGTAGACCGCCGAAGACCCCCACAGCCGGCCGTGCATCCCTCCTGTCTGTCTGTCTCTCTGTCTGCGGCACATGTTTTAGTCCATTTCGTATATGAGTTTTTCAATTTGTGTGGCTCAGTGCACAGACTCTTTAGCGGCTAACATGGACGATCAAGCCCGGATCATGCAGTCGATCGGCGGCGTGAGTCTGGCCGGCCACTCGGTACAGGGAGGCATGGCACTGCCGCCTCCACATGGACACGATGGGACGGACGGAGACGGAAGGAAACAAGACATTGGTGACATTCTGCATCAAATCATGACCATTACTGATCAGAGTCTGGACGAGGCGCAAGCAAAGTTGGTTGATTTATATGTTTTATTAACTTGGCCCCCCTCCCTGAAACGCTGAACGCATCATTATTGAGATGTGGCCCGCTTAACTTAAGTCCCCCATGCATAACAATAGGCTGGAGTGGCTTTAATGATGATCTCCCTCTGAGGTGGTGTGTGTTAAACAGGAGAGAAAAGTTGTCAGTGAAGGAAAGAGAAAGAAAAGAGGATTTTGGCTGCTTGGAAAAGTTTCTGCTCACACTAGAGATCAGATAATTTCTGCTTTAAAACTCAGAATAAATTCTCTGACAGTCATGAAGTTGTGTCAGATATTCTCATGATTTTATTTTAACTTTGAGTGAAGAAGTTTGTGATAAAGCTGCAGAGTAATTGTGAGTGTGTGAGTGTGGTGAGTGTGATGTTCAGTGAATTTATTTCAGTATTTTATCTTGTCTTATACTGAAACAGGAAACATGGACTCAACTGTCACAGAATGAAACCAGCACTCTTCAGCGTTCTCTGTGAAATCAAAGAAAAGACAGGTAAGAGCTTTCAATCAACACACACACACACACACACACACACACTTCTCATCAACACAAGCACAGGAGCCGAGCCGACACACACACACACACTAACACACACTAACACACACTTACACAGAGACCTGCTCAGCCCCCAGTGATCCGGGTACGTCCAGGTTCCAGGTTAGCTCTGCCCAAATGAATCAGTGTCGTCCTTCCATCATGTCAGGGTGTTGTCACAGCGGAGGGACAGTTTGTGTTTTTTTGTTTCCTGCTCAGAAAGTGTGTTCGAGTTTCCTCACTCACTCAGTCACTCACTCAGTCACTCAGTCACGACCCCGACACTGACCAGGATGGAGAGATATGATCCTGATTTCTGAATCTTCACGAATATTCAGTCCAAACCCGAAAACAGCAGCTTCACCTCCTGACAGAATTCCTCTGTGATCAGGTTCAGATTTTATCTCTGAAAACAAAGAAGGAAATACGAAAAAAATTCAGATTATTCATCAGACTGGAGAAAATATTTGAAGAAATTATAAAAAATATTAGAAGGAATTTTTAAAGAAAATTACACTTGATAAAAATTTAATTTGCACCATGATAAAAAAAAATCAGAATTTTTCAGGCGCATGTCGGAGTCACACTTTAAACAAAGAGGAGTTTAAATTATACCACTGATATTTAATTTAGTTTTTTGTGTAATTCTTTGTTTTAATTTCCTCTTTAGTAAAAATCACCTCCTCTCTTCTTCTACACTTGACCAGGATCACACCACCAACCCCAACACTCACTTACACTCCCCTTTTTTTATTCCTCTTTTCTTCTCTTCTGGGAATTTAAATCAGGATGTTTTTATTATTTTACACACGACTAATTTTATTTTTTAAGTATAAATCTGTTTGTCTGAGAAAAAAAATGACAACAGGAATAAAACCTTGTCGTCAGCTCGGTGTGAATTAGCGGGTCAGATTTGTGACCTTTGTGCTCTTTACGAGGAAAGCGGCTCGGCAGAGATCATAAAACTTTATGAACTTCTCGAACACAGGTGGTGTCCGCAGGGGCGGGCGGAGGGGCTACAACTGTGAGTGTGTGTAAGAGTGTGTGTGTGAGTGTGGAGTTTAGACAATGAAACAGACAGTGTGTGTGCAGATTTGAGAGTTTTCAGGAGATCAGAGTGGGGGTCAGATGTTAGAGAGGGTCTCTGCGATGATCCTGGACTCCCTCTGATCAGACCGTCTCTCCGTTTGACGCTTCACTTCGACAAATTTAAAACAAGAAAAGACTCAAACTGAGACCAGATCTTGAGATTCAAACGTGTTCGGAGGAGAAGTGTGTGATCAGAGGGGGAACAAGTGTGTGTGTGTGTGTGTGTGTGTGTGTGTGTGTGTGTGTGTGATGGTTAACCTGTGGTTTAGAGTCACAGCCCCCCCCTCCTCATTGACAGAGCTCAGCTGGTCTGGTGGCCTCCTTGTTGTTGACCGGCGTGGTGCTCCTCCTGCACTCACACACTCACTCACACAGACACACACACACACACACACACAGACACACACACACACACACAGACACACAGACACACAGAGAGGAGCCGGCTCTCAGCAGCGGCTCCTGCAGCCCCGTTCTCAGGGCATCCTTGGCCCTTTCATGTCCGTTCAGATGGCACAGGAGGGGCCGCTGTCTCTCCGAGGCGTGGGATCCAGCTTTGGCTGAAAATGGCTTTTAATAATAAATTTGAAAGCGGTCCAAGAATCGGGGCTGTAATTACTGCGCGCATGTATCATGTTCTCCTGCCTTATTGTCTGGCGTGAGGATGAAAAGCGAGTCCAGGGTTCAGCTTCAAAGCTGCACGAGTGTTTGTGTGTGAGCGAGTTATTTTCTGATCAGCGCAGAGACAAAATCAAAGTGGCGGGAAATCACTCTGGTTTTCTGCAGAGAGGAGCTTTTTCTGGTCGTGGTGAGATAATCGGAGAGTTTGTGAAGTTTGGAGTGTTATTGTGGAGCTGCAGCCTTTTTCTGCATTGCTAATGCCCTAGAAGTATTAATTCACTTTGATATGCTAATTAGAGAGCATTATGCAAGAAATGAGATTAAGTGGCAGCATGAAGTCATTTGCCTGTCACTAAATTGAGTGTTTTTAGCAGGAGGGTTTTTTTCCTGACGTGTGCTGCTCTTTGTCCTTCGGTGTTCGGATGTTTTTCCTGTAAGATAAAAAAAAATCTGGATTAAAAAAAATGTTTGATTCCTGGTGTTTCAGGACAAAGGATGCATTCATGATGCACCTTCTCCTCCTGAAGACAATGAATGCATTGAGGTAAAAAAGGGCCTGCGATCTGTGGATGAGTTTCGCAGCTCCTCCTGTGTGCTGCTGGGTTTGTTTTCTCCTGCTGCCCGCTCCTCTCCTCCGTCCTGCTCTCATGCTTGGCTTGGAAGGAGGAGAGGCTCCCAGCAGCAGCAGCAGCGGGAGCGGCAAGAATAACAAAGGTGAAAGATTACCTCCATATGGTATTTCTGACCAGGAAAAGAGAGGTTCTGTAGCAGGACTCCTCTTTGATGTGAGGTTTAATCAATAGAAAGAGATTACAGAAAACTATTACAGGCTAAATCACGGAGTGCCACAGAGAGGCTTAGCCCCTCTCCACAGCTCTCTCAGCTGCACGGCGCTTCTTTTGGCTGCGTATTGACTTGTTGTTTTGCTGACCTTTGACTCGTCAGGTTCAGAAACAGGGGGTCTGGAGAGGTGGGCGAGGGAGGGGGGGAAGGAAAGAGAGAGAGAGAGGGAGAGAGGGGGAGAGCTGATAAATGCTCCGACCCAGAGCAGTGGAGAGAGCAGTGGATTAGAGAGGGAGTCGGTGTCGCTGCGTTTGTTTCACATGTTTCTGCAGAGCGCCAACATGCTTTCATGGCTTTGTCCTGGATAGATGTGAGGTAGAGGAAGGTAAAGACCACGTTAATTAAATCGGGTTCAGGATGAGCCTGTAATTAACCACATGCAAGGCTGCCTAAAAGCATTACCTGCAGTAAATAGAGTTAGGACTGAGGAGGTAAGCATTTCTGAAATCTACAGGGAACATTCGTTTCAATATTTCCTGACAAACTTAATGACCCTTCCAATTCCAATTGGCTTATAATTATTAATACAAACTCATTATGATGATTATTATTGGGAGTATCTCTAAAACAGGAGCGAACAGAAATATACTCCTCTTTATTCTCGTACCTTAGAGGAGTTTTTTTTTCTCCTCCGCTCTAAAATCTCCAGTAAACGCCTGACAGAGAACAGAAAGCCATTCAGCAGGAGAGACAATTGACTTTGGCTGCTTTTTGTCTCGCAGAGCCCCAGTGATGCGGCTGCAGAGACTAGATAGTGTTGTGGCGAATAGCTCGCGCACAGCTGGGTTCCTGACTGGCTCAATGGCAGGGCCACTAGTGCTTCCTCCTCTAAAGCACAAGGGGGACCGGGGAAGATGTGGCTATTATCTAAGTAGCTCCCAAATACCCTCCATTTCCCCATCAGCAAGGATGAAAAGAAGGAGAGCCAGACAGACGACAGAGAGGGAGAGAGAGAGAGAGAGAGAGAGAGGTGGAAAAACAAGAGTGTACATATCAGTTTCATTTGGAGAGGAAAATGCTTTTGTGCAGATAGATTCCTCCTCAGCTCGGTGGTATCTGCACGCTCGGCTCCTCAAATCTGTTTTTGTTTTTTTTGTGTTGATGGTGATTCAGTGCTGTCCCTCCATCTGCACACACCAGCCCCCCCATCTTGCAAACGTCTCCCTCGCTCCCCCCGCCTCCATCGCTCCGAGCGTTTTCTGCGGGCTCCTGCGCGATCAACAGCTCATAATTGTTTTTTGCACATACGTTATGCAAATGAGTCTTTATGGCAACTGGCATAACAATTAGCATCCTCCAACAATATTTTAGTAGGTTAATTGCGAAATTTCTGAATTGTACATCTGAGTTGTTAATTAGGCATGACAGAGGTGGTGAAATAGTTATCTTCAGGCGCTGGCAGCCAGCAGACAGAGGCTGCAAAAAGGAAGGATTGATTGAAATGAGTTTACAGCAGCAGCAGGAGGAGGAGGAGGAGGAGGAGCGAGGCGGTCGGTCTGTCGGAGGATCTTTGAACGCCACTTTAGTTTTTGGAGGTTCGTGAGAATCTCCACCTGAAGCTCCTTGAGTCTCTGACCCTCCGCTCAAACACAAACACTCCAGAAAACACGTCAACACAGACGCCGAACCGTTCCATTTGTTTTCATGTCGGCGCGAGTTTGCGAGAATTATCCTGCGGCTGCACTCCTGTCAAAACAGCCCGTGACCTTTGACCTCTCAGACTTACTTACACCCATTTTTACTGTTTTTGAATAAAGTTTCACGTCTTTAAAGAAAGTTCATGCTGATAATTCACACGCAAATATTTACCAATCATCAGATAATTTTCTGCATTTTTAAAAATTTGTGTAAATGGAGAAAATTTGACAAAAACAAATAAATATTTAAATGTAATTATAATTAAAATAAAATAAGAGTTTTAACAGATTTAATTCAACGATTCTCCCTCTCACGTTAAGAATTTTAAAATCAATCAGTTTTTAAAAATAAATGAATTTATTTACTTTAAATCAAAGTTGCAGAAAATCAGATTTTTTTGCATTTAAACTAAAATATAAAAATATTGATGTAGGTCTTAGGAGAGAAAAAAAAACACTGGTAGATTTTCGTTGGTCGTCGTTTCTGCGGGCGTCCTCAGCTGAGCGTATGGCGGCGGTTATTAGTGTAAAAAGGGTTGAAGTGAAAGAGCGGTGCAAACGCACTGACTCCTCTCTCTGTAATGACTCTGCTATTTATAGGTCCCTATTTCATTAGCTCTAGTGTTTCAGGGAAGAGTTTTCCTCCTGGGACAATAGACACCAGCATGTTCATTTACTCTGTACACATTACACGTGGACAACTAAATGACCCGTCGTTGGTGCGAGGAGAAAAAAACAACAATCCGGCTGCTGTCAGTTTTTCTGCTGCTCCACTAACCTCTGCCTCTGTGTTTAATCTTCATGATAAATAAAAAATAAAACTCTGTTTTTGGAGGAGTTACTCCTACAGGTGACAGGAGGAGGAATTAAAGGCAGGAGTCGGTGAATGTAGAGGTTTTTAAAATTGATTTGTAAGGTTTTGACACGGTGGCAGTTTGCAGCTTGTTACTCCAGGAAAACCTCTTTCTTTCTTTTTCTTTCTTTCTTTTTTCTCCTCATTTACAGTCTTGGGAAAGAAGCCTCTCTCTCTCTCTCTCTCTCTCTTTCTCTCTCTCCATTGTTCCCTCTGCCATTGTTCCACATGTTTCATACATTAGAATGATGTATCGAAGGCAGAAATGGGAAAAAGACTGCAATGCAATGAAATTTTAATCAGCGTCTTCTGCTGCTTTAATAAGGCAAATAATTCTTATTGGCTGCTGCTGTGTTAAGATTTCTAATATTTAATTCATAACAAACCTCGCATTATTCTGCTTTAGCCCTGAGACAAGCTGCTCTCTGCCTGCCAGGAGGAAACTATAGGGACAGAGAGGAGATAGAAGTGCAGACGGAGCGTTTTTCTCTCACGCTGTGGCAGAAAACCGTCCGATTGTTTCTCAGAGTTCAGATCGACGTTAAAAACTGGAAAATACCAAACTCCTCCACCTCCCTTTTTAAGATTTGTGAGCGCTCACCAAACTATGACCGTCCGCCATAAACTATCTTTTTGTTTTCTTAAGTCCTTCAAGTTGATTTTTGCGCCTGAAGTCATGGAAAGATGGCGAGGGGCCAGCGGCGAGGTGCTGGCTCATGTTACAGTGAAACGCCGGGCCCTGTTTTCGTCTCCCGGTGAAACGGCTTAATTGGTGTCAGAGCCCCGGGGAGAAAGGCCTCTTGCTCTGAAACGCAGCCACACAGGCCCCTGTCTTCCCTCAAAACCAGGAGGAGCGGCCGGCGTCTGCTGCTCAATGAGCACTAAGCCGTGGACTAACAATACCAAATGATGTTTGGGATGACAGAAATTAATATGCGCTTGCTCCCAGAAAGCGATGATTAATGACGGTGAGCGGGGGAATGCTGTCCCTCCTTTTCTGCTCCTCTTTGATGGGGATTGAAAAGCACTAAAAAAAAAAAAGCGGCTGATTTCTCCTCTCTTTGGAGGGTGGAGGTCATCCAGAGTACATTACTGCTATTCTTCTTCTCTTTCTGGAGCAGGAGGCGGGTTTTTGGCGAATTCTGAAACGATCACAGACACAAACCTGCGCTCTACCTGAACTTTAACTCTCATCACGTATATTTCCCTCTTCTTCTGGATATTTGATCAGCGATGGAGTTTTCTCCGCTGATTCGCAGCCAAACGTGCGAACAAAATGGTGGTGTGCTGTTGCCATGATAATGATCTGTATCTGTTGTGTCCTAGGAGGAGACGCATGAATATTTAATTGTGTCTGCTGCTGCTGGAGAGAGATCCCCAGACCCTTCTGTTCATTTCTTACTTTCTCTAATGCCTCTCCTCCCTCCCAGGTACTTCCTCCCTAAGTAATGGAGAATTAAAGCCCCGCATTAAAATCAGAGAAACTGCGATGTAAGGGATTTTCTGAGGACGTTTGTCTACTCTCGGAAATTCAAATGGCAAGTTTTGACAACGGACATTCTGCTGACGTGGCATATTCGCTTCTCAAATAAGCGTTTCCTCCGTCAGAGTGATTGATACGTATTAAGCGTGTTTTTTTTTCTCTTTCTGGAGGAGGAAGAGGAGATGAGGATGACGATGACGCGGGTGCGAGGATATGAGTTTTAAACAGAGAGCCGGTTCCCCCTCATATTGATCTATTTGTGTTGGCGGAGTGGCAGGTGTTATACGGAGAGTGTGTCAGCTTTGATTGTTTGTGTCAGTGATCCGAGCCGACACTGAGCTCTCTTACTGTTCGTCACTGTTGCTCCGGCTGCTGCTGCTGCTGCTGCTGCCTCTTGATGAATGGCAGCAGGCTGAACAGATCCTCAGAAAAACTCACGTCTATGCTGTCTCACCAGGAGCAGCATCTCTGTGAATCAGCACTGGTCCTCAGAGGTTCAGGACACGCCTCCTTTTATTTTAGTGCAAACATGCAGAAGCTTTAAGAGGAGGAGGAGGAGGAGGAGGAGGAGGCGGTGGGCTCTTCTTCTTCTTCTTCTTCTTCACCTGCGTGTGTTTGTCTGTTTGTGAAGGTGAGCCTCTGTAAGTATGCAGAGCACGGCGGGCCTCTCGCGGGTGCTGAAGGAGAGCGTGGAGTGGCAGAGTTAATTTATTTAATGACTGAGCGTCTTATATCTCCCCAGCCCTGATTAGAATCCATGCTTGATGAGGGGAGCGATAGCGGGGGTGCGCTCTGGCCCCAGGCCCTCACACGTTCACGTTCACGTTCACCCTCCTCCGCTTTGAAAAAAAAAAAATCATTTATAGAAACGTAGAAAAATGGAAAACTAGAGCGTTTTCATTTTTGATGTTTGTAGGATCAGTCTGAGAGGAGCTGTGTGTGTTTGTGTGTGTGTGTGTGTGTGTGTGTGTGTGTGTGTGTGCGGCGTGGCCCCGTGATAAAGACGAAGTGCGGTGGAGCTCTATGAACGTGGGAAAGCCAAACAGAGTGTGTCACTTTGGCAGCACGGCCCTGTCAGCATTGGGGAGCTGCAGTTGTAAAAACCATGACCTTCCTCTTTGCCAGCATGTCTCTCGCAGAGCCAGAGCGCTGCCCCGTAGATCTGGGCCGTCTGTGGGAGGGAATACAAACAGAGGGAGAGAAAGAAAGAGAGAGAGAGAGAGAGAGAGAGAGAGTGGAAAAAAACAGAGAGAGCCATAATTGTAAAGAAGAAGAAGAAGAAGAGGAGGAGGAGGAGGAGGAGGGGTCGGTTGAAGTAATGAAATACTTCTTGGAGCTATCATGACGGAGAAGGTGAGGGAGGGAAAGTGAAGAGGGAGAAAATACTCCTCGTCTTCCAACATTTCCATGAGCCATCATCAGTAATGCCGCCGCCGCCTCACAAACCAGAAATTATTTCTTCAGGCGTCGCTGTCAAGTGTTATTCAAATAACAGCAGCCTCACATTTGAATAACAGCCGACATTTTGAATTAATTAATCAGACAAGATAGTCTGGGCCTTTTCTCATTAGTCTACAGGTCAGGCTGGGGAAGATATATGCGCTGGTGATGATATACTTGTCTTTAATAGTGATTTATGGAGATTTGGGATTGTACTCGATTTGTCAAAGGGCCCGGCTGCAGAAAAATAGGACGCTGCATATTTCATTACCTAATCTCTGATACCTTCACCGAGATACAGTCCTGCTGTTTAGATGCACAGGAAGCTCTTTTACGTCCACCCGTCACCAGTGAGGCACGCACACACACACACACACGCACACACACACACACACGTGCACACACATTTAATCTCCTCTCATAGACCTCTCCCATTTTACTTTTCCTATGCAATTAAGCGAGGGCTGTAAATTATAACTGTGTCGTACTTTAATTATCATGGTGTAAAAATAGAGTTCCTGTCTTTGAGAGGATTTCATTAACTTACTCAATATTCCATGTCAGCGCCGAGAATCACAAGATTGCTCTGACGCTTGTGTTGAACATGCTCTCTCTGTGTGTGTGTGTGTGTGTGTGTGTGTGTGTGTGTTATCTCATTAGACTTTGGAGGAAATTTAATTTAAAGGTTTTTTTTCTCCTGCAAATATAAAAATGTGTTTTTGTGAATATTTTTGGATTTTACCAGAACTTCATTTATGCACCCTTTTTAAAGGAGTGTGTGTGTGTGTGTGTGCATGGAGGTGTAAATGAAAGTGTGTATTTTTTAAAGCGTAACGAGCCTCCTGTTAAATCTTCCTGATAAAGACACTCGGCCTGTTTCTGCTTTTCACCTGCACAGGTTTTAATTCTTCTCTGCAGCTTGATTTGCACAAGCCTATATCAATGCATGCATGTGTATGTGTGTGTTAAAAAATGTGCATGTGTGCGTGCGTGTGCACAAGTGTCAGGAAGCTACGAGCTGTTGCCATTCCGGTGAGCAGCCCACACAAAATGCACCAACACCAGTGTGACAAAACATTCAAATAAATTGCTGTCAGGCTGCCGAAACACCAAGTGCAGCGATTTTTATCTGACATGTGGAAGACCCAGACATGCAGTCCTGACAAGTAGCGCCCGAGCACCTGTGAGAGACGGGCGATAAAAATCAGGATGTGCCTGATCCCCGGCATAACAATACCTATCATTACTTGATATTATTACTCTTCTTCTTCTTCTTCTTCTTTAAGGGAGAGCTCAAGATGGAGAGATAGAGCGAGAGCAGGTTCTGTTTAAGTGCCTGTAATAAATGATCGGAGGTGGTTGTTTGCATAGATGCACTTAAAATTTACAGTGAAATTGAATTATGCAGTCTGATGGCATATCAACAAGTACCGATCCGCCTTTTATGGTCGCGCACGTTCCTTCATTACGGCCGTGTTTTTGGAGTAAACAGAGTCCAAGGTTAGAGCGTTTATTTATTCTGCTGTTCACAGGTGTGTTTTAGTCGGAGGACATCAGGACATTTATGTGCACCAAATATATTTATTTTTTTAAATATATTTTCCTGTACTGTTGGTTAAAATCTGCTCTCTGGAACAGAATTAATTCACAGCGTCTGCTGACACTGATAGACTTTGTTTCTTAACAGCGTGCAGGAACAAATAAATACTGGGAGAGCCGGCGCAGCTCCACTTGTTTTCATTGAGTCTCCAAAATTGACTCTGTAATTCTTAAATCCAATTGAGGAGCGTAAAAAAAAAAAAAAAAGAAAAAAGAAAAAAATGCTTTTGAGAAAGTCGGAGACAAAGGAGTGCCATCCATTCTCTGCTGTATTGTTATTTTCTCCCTTATAGGTTACTAATGAGGAATCGGCCCTCATTATGATTTTAAGGATGAGAGAGGAAAGCTTTTAATTAATGATATGTAAATGGTTCTGAATTGATTATGTTAGAATATCAAGAGAGATGGGTAGAAGCTGTGGTGTAATATATTTTAATTAAGAATTAATTAAAAATGATGGCAATTTTATAGCAGCTCACAGAAAATAGAAGAATTTATTCTCTGTCACAAGTAAATCAGGCCTTGATTAAATAAACAGACACATGCTGCTGTTTTCATCCTCCATGTATATTTATTTAGACTGAGAGAGTATTAAAAAAATAACACAAACACACCAGTGTGGTTTGTCAGCGGTCCACCACAAGCTGGGAGCTCTGGGGTTAATGGTGATTTATCTCATTCCTAATTCATGAGATCCTCCTGCTCTGTGTTAGGTGGATCAATAATAACGCCGGGTTTCCTTTTTGAATTCAGCCTCTACAATTAGATTTGTAACGTGGAACACAATTACGACACAGACATGAATGCCTGTTTTTATCACTTGTGGCACGCCAACGTGGATCCCCAAAAGATATCAATCTGTTTATGAGCTAAAAAGATTTGTACTGTGAAAAAGATGAGTTGTGACGAGACGTGCACCCTCGTTAACCTTTTTAATTGCTATCTGCTTTCTTTCATTCATTCTTCTTCAGGGCGGAGGGAGGGAGGGAGGGAGGGGGGAGACACAGGGAGACGTTAGCTGCATTAGCGCCGCGCGCCGCTATTAAAGGGAGAGAGGTCTTTGTTTTCTGCTAACGGTGGCATGCATGCTCTGTGCTAAACTCCGCGATCAATGGCAGAGAGGCTGCTATCACAGCGCTCGGAGCAGGCGTAGCTCAGGGGGGGAGGGGAAGGGGAGGGGTGTGGGGAGGGGGGGGGGTCCCTGGTGGTTCATTTTGATTGGAGCGCAGAGTTTTGTGTTGAAAGGCGAGGGAGAGACAGGCTGTTGGAAGCAAATCCCCCCGGATCAGTTAAAGCTTTGCAACAAAAACACCTTGATATTCCTGGGAACATTTGCTTAGGAAAAAAGACTGAATTTAAATAAACGGGCGACAAGAGAACGCAATGATCTAAAGCATTTCTGAAGGTCTGTGTGTTCAGAGAAAGCTCGTGGATCTCAGCTTAGAATTAATTTAGGAACCACATTTCAAATCAGAGTAAACGGCGGCAGCAGCAGCAGCAGCGCAGAGAGGAAAATCATTGTTATTGTATTCTGTCAATGTGCCGCTCCACCTTCTTTAAGAGGCTTTTTTCACCTCCAGGAGGATAGATATACATATGTGTGTGTATGAGTGTGTGTGAGTGTGTGTGTCAGGGTTGGTGGTTGCACTATGTCCTGACTAACAGACAGACACAGAGAGAGAGTCAGTGTATTTGTGTATTTGTGTATTTGTGTGTGTGTGCAACTCTTTAGCCTTTATGAGCGACCCAATCTGTTCTGGGCGGCAGGGAGGATGTGCTGCTCGAGATGGAGGGAGTGTTGAATGGATTATTAGTCCGAGTATCCCCCCCCCCCCCCACTGTAGCAGGTCGCATGTAAAGGCTTAGAGGCATCATGGACGCTCACACGTGCACACACATGTCAGACATCTGCAGGCGCACACCCCCACGTGCACACATACATGATGTGAAAACATGCAGGGGCGCAGACGTGTGCATGCATGCATATACACAGTGCATGCACGCCGACGGCTGGCGGAGCATCTTCTTCCTGACACCTGCAACTAGTTGCAATACATCACTGTCAGGATCGCTTTCTCCACCTATCCGCGTTTGTGCGTTACTTATCCGCCGAGGCCTTCGTCAAAAAGTTGAGCGGTCCTGACATCAGCTCCCCGGTGGGAACAGAAAAGGTGAAGCGGTGCTGGGAGGCGCCACGACGCGGGTGTCTTAGCAGGCTGTGGTCTCTGCACCCAACAGCATCTTAATGACACCTGAAGAGGAAGATGATGGTTCCACACCGCGTCACGCCACGACTTATTCCAGAAGAATCTGAGCGCTGGTTTTCTTACTGGCGTGTTTATGGAATTCAGGCCTGCAGCCGCGGTGACCTGAAGCCAGGTTGAGCTGGTGTTGTTGACTCTGAGTGTGTCAGCGGCGGAGGAAGTGAGGGCACAGCGCCTCCCGTGTGAGCTCGCAGTGGAGACGAGGAGAGTCCGCCGGTGGCACTGCTAGCCGTGAGCGCCAACAGCTCCGGCCACGACAGAAGAGAGGAGGTGGGGAGTAAGAGGAGAGTAGAGAGGAGAGGGGGGAGGCGGCGGTGGTGGTGGTGGGGGGGTTGGGTCAGTGTCTGAACTGGCTGATGGGAGCCAGAACATGAAACAATGCCGGGGGAACGTCTGGTGGGTTCGCTGCACAGAATTACAAGCGAGGGAGCAGGCCTGCTGAGGCAATTACAGCTTAATGGGGTCATTTGGAAGGCAATTGCCAGGGGTTAATGTAGTATGGAGAGATGAGGTGAGATTGAAGTGAAATTTTTGGCTAGAAAATGTGTTCGAATGAAAAGGGGAGCAGGCAGACAAGTTGTGTGCTGATGGGGTGGGAGGTTGATTGGGGGGAAGTGGAATGCAGCTTTGCACCGCCACACAGAGGGACGCGGTGAGGCCCGAGCGCCGCATCCCTGCAGGAAGGTGCGTGTCTGCACAGGTGACACTTCTAGCCTGTGCTAACTCGCCCGGCCCGACAAGAGCGGCTCTGTTCTGTTCGGTGTCAGTTTGTTTTCGGTAAAATCGGAGCCGAAAGGATCCAGAGAAAGATGTGTCAGAGAAACTGCGAGAGACACCTCGGAGGACGAGGATAAAAAGGATCATTATGTGTTGTTACGTTAGCCAGTTCATTACCTTAATTGCCACACATAATCCGCTGTTGGAAGGGGCACTGGAGCTTTGGGAAGGAGTCTTTGCCAGGACCTCCTCGCCCAGGTCTCATCCGCCCCCCCTGATCCCCTGACTTGCAGCAAGCGGAGCGATGGTGCTAAACTTTGATCAAAGCCAAACTTATTTAAGGTCAGCCATGTGAGATCCCCTGGGAGCCGCCGTGTTCGCCGAAGCGGACTGCAGTATAGGAAGTAGTACAGCGGCACTTCTTGCCTTGCTGCTGCTGCCTGCGCCCGCGCTGGATCACTGGACAGCAATAGCATTATCATCAGGCCTTTCAAGTCTTCAGCATTTTTGCGCGATTACGCTCCACAGAGGAACTTAACATCATCCATGGGTGGAGATTCCTTCAGAGTTCGCTCTCCCTCCCTCTCTCCTCTCTGTCTTTTTTTCTCCCCCCTCTCTCCTTCCATTTCTGTCATCTCTGTGAAGTCGAAGCCCACTCCCCCCTCTTCCCCTCTACACAGGGTTTTGGCCAAGAGCCGGCCACTTCACTGAGGCAGATTTTCCCAGGCTCCCCAAAGGCTATTTTACCAGGATTCCCATTAGGTCTTTACCCATTACCAATGTTCCAAATCATTTACAGAAGAATCTATTTACTTTATGTGGTAATGGATTCATTTGACATGGATCGCTCTCCAAAAAAAAAACCAAGCAGCAGCAGTTAGCATGCACATTCCCCCGTTTGAACCTGGTACAGTATTTTCTGTTTGGTTTATTTTTATCTCCTACAGCTGCAGCCGTGCCTTCAGACCGCGCTCACGCTCCGCTCGCCGTCACAGCTCGGTACTGTACGCTGTAGAGGTGGCGGAGCATTGTGTCAGTGCTGCGGGAAAAAAACAAGTATGATGCAACTGTGTTGTCATTTAAGAGTGACAAATAGACAGTGGCAGACCATCAGAAACGGGGGAGAGCGTGGAATGGTGTCGCTGACAAACTGCTATGACCTTTGGGTGCTTTGGCCTCCAGAGTGCACGCCACATACAGCGTTTACCTCAGGTCAGCGGCGGCGTGGACATGCCGGTCCCTCTTATTGAGGAGAGTCCAGCCTCGTCACGTTTGGATCGATAATCAGTCGGATTGGAAAATGCTAAAGACAGAAATGTAGAGCTTGAGCGTCGTCTTCTTCTTCTTCTTACGTGTTGAAATACTATTGGCTGGCGATGCTAAATCAACGTTAATTCACAAACAATCCATAAAGCAAAGTCTCCACAGCAGCAGCAGCAGCCAAAGAGAGGCAGTGTGCCCAGAGCTATAAAGTGCACTCCTCCTGCCTCTATTCCATGTCACCAAAGCATCCCATCAAAGCCTGCCTCCTTCCTGTTGTAAGGTAGGGGGAAGAAAATCAATGGCGCAATCTTTTCTTTTTGCCTCCTCCAATCCGTAATTGAAATGGAAAATCAAATGAACGGCAAGCAGATAATTGTTTTATCAATATTCCCTGCCTGCCCTACAAGGGTCAGTGCAGAATGATCATGAGTCGGGGATATGACGAGGACAAAATGTGAAATTGAACAGCTAGGAGGCAATAAATCAGCCTTGACAACTAAGAGTGACCAGCATGTAGCTGCAGCAGGCAGCTCTCCCTTCAGAATTTGTCCTGAAGCTGTCCACAATAAATGGGGAATATTCATCTCATTATTGTTGCACTTAATATTGCTATCAAATATTATTCTTAGAGTCCAGACGGGAAGTCAAGGTCACTCCGGCTATTATTGTTGTCATTGTTAGTGTGTGATATTGAGGGTATAATAGAGGGCAAAGCCAGATGGTGTGCCGAGCTTATGAAGAGGAAAAGAATAAATGCAGTCGTTTGTTATTTGAGGAGGGAAGTGGTCTGCGTTTGGTTTCCATGTGTTTGGTTTCCATGTGGCACCTTTAGGCTCAAACCGCTAACCGCTAATGACACAAACACAGAATCTGCTGGGAGCGACAAAACCGACAAAACCGACACCAAAACCCACAGCAGGGATACGACTTTAACACGCGGTCTGACATGTTCGAGGGATGATGACGGAAATGTCAGGTACTGATGATGAAAATGTAAAATATCAATATGGGAAACAAATAATCAAACTGTAACATCCTGTGGATCCTCAGGCCACTTCCTGTTTATTCCTTTAACTGTTTTAACTCAATTCAATAATTTACAATCTCAGGACAACAGATTAAAATTAGCATCTATGCTCACGCCGCCATATTTACATTGATGCTTTTTCTGACATGTTAATTAATGTGCATTGTCCTAATAAAATAAATAAAACAACCTATGAGAAGTATTTCAAAATAAAGGCATGTTTTACTATACATAAAATAAAGTAACCAAACAGCGCTAAAATATAAAAATAAAAGCACCCCTGAACATGAATGTGCTCTTAATTTTTCTTTAACTATTTCCATTCAGTTCAATAACCAACAAACTCCAGGAAGTAGCATATGGATTATTTCAAAATAAAAGCATGTTTTACTATTCCTAAAACAAAAGTAACCAAACAGCAATAAAATATCAAAATAAAAGCGTCCCTGAAACTGTCATAAGAGCTTGTGCCTGTTCCATTCAGTTCAGTAACCTTCAAATTCCAGGAAGTAGCATTATTTCAAAATAAAAGCATCTGAACATTCTTTTAACTATTTCCATTTGGTTCCATAACCTGCAAACTCTGTGAAGTAGCATATGCATAATTTCAAAATAAAGGATATTTTAGATTTACAGTAAATACATCCAATTGAACGCAAAACAGTGAAACTATCAAAATAAAAGCATCCCTAAAAATCGATTTTCAGAGGCACTATCTGAGGAAGGTGACAGGTTAAAAAAACTCAACTTAGAATATATAATTAGACAAGACTGATGACACAGAAGTGAGTCAGTTAGGTAATAAAATTTATGAAGTCCAGTATCACTCTGTCCTTTTCTTGCCTTTCCTAATTTGACGAATTGTTTTATTTTTTTGCAAGTTTCCCGTAAATATTAAACTAAAAACATTATTGTCGTGTGGGTAATAATTAGGGGAATATACTGTTAAATAAAGCAGGTGTAAGACAGTTACCCTGTTATTTCATAAGAACTTCCTGTCGTAGCTTCACAGAGACAAACACCCGTTTGTCTTCGCTCCTCCTCCCTCATTAGATCCTTAAATAAACGCCGTCGAGCCACTTTTCCAACTCTCGTAAAATCTACAGATGAAACTGTAGCCAGAAAAAAACAAAAATCGACATCCTCAATCCTGTGACGTCCCTTCCCATCTGGCTCATCCAGTTGCGAAGGCATTGACAAAAATATGAAATTGATTTGGTTGAATGGTGTTAAAGAGCCGACAGGAGAATGTCACAAACAATGAATGGTCACAGCTTGGAGGAAAATCAATGGCAGAGGTTGAAGCCAGTCTGGAGTGCTACTTGGCAGCGTTACACTCTTCCTGGAAAAGAGCTGTCTTCTTCTGGCCGTGGTTGTCTGATCAAAAGGAGGACTTGATGGGTTTAATGAAGGGGGCTGCGATAAAACTGACAAGAGAAATATAGACATTGTGGGAAAGATTGTTTGACTTCAGCGTAGGTGGCAGCTATAAGCACTGTCTGAAATTCATTTTTTGATTCGCTTCAGTGGGATGACTTTCTCCATGCATTGTTCATGCATGTGTGCAGGATTTCAAACATTGGAGCCTCTCAGCTGACCCACAAAAGCCTACATGTGTTTAAAGCCAGAGTGAACCGTTTTGGTTTTTGATGTAAAAGTCAGATTGCTCTGTAAAAAAAGATGACAGACATGTTTGTATTTTACACAATTCTCGTTAATTTTAGAGCGCGGATCGTGATCCTTGGAAGGAGGAAAAAATAAATTGGCAGAGTGTCTTTCAAGTGGACAAAGTGAAGAAAATCCCCCCTACTTTGTTGGGATTGCAGTTGTAAGCTTTGCACCATATGCTACTTTCCTCTTTAGCTGGGATTATGCCATCATTATTGCTGATAAAAGCTGTTTACTGCCTTGGCTCCAAATCGATGCTCGGGGCGCTCTGAAACTGGCATTCCCTCTCCAGAAGAGTTCATTCCATGCCAGCTGCTCAGGATTCAACCCCCTTTGTTTAAGATTTCACACTTTTTGTAATGTTTATTTTCTATTTAGATTTACCCCCCTTTTCTGGCACATGAGGCTCTCCCTTCCATTAACATATGTTTACAACAATTTGACATTTACATTTGATGAGCTTAAAGCAGATTGGAGGTGTCTCCGACGTGGTTATACAACAACGCGGTTGGAGTCGCAGAGCTGGTTAACACAGCGGAGAGTGGAAAATACAAATGATAGAGGCGGCTTACCGCAGATGTTTTCAGTATCAAAATGCAACTGTGGCGCTGAAAAGGCGAGCAACATCCAGCGCCGCCTTCTCACAGTGTTACCAATCAATGCTATAATCAGTCAATGCAGATTCAGCCCGACAGCTGTGTTAAGATAACAACTGGTTCTCATGACTGTAGCGGTCCCGGTGACCTTGTGCGCCTCAAATTAATAATGTAAAATCAACACAAGACAACCACCCCCCTGGTTCCCATGCAGACAATGATGAACTACCTTTTCGCCTTGGCATCAAAGGCCACTCAGACGAAGTCATGTTTCACGGCGTACACCGTAATGTCACGTTTCCCCCGTAGCCTCCCCACCCCCATCCCCGCCACCTCCTCCTGCTTCCTCTTTTTTTTTTTTTTCAACTTAGCCTCCATGTCCCTTAAATAATGTCTCTCACTCTTCCTCTACAGCTCCCCCAGTACCCAGGGAAATCACACTGATCAATATTTCCCATTTTAGAGGAACTGCAGCAAACATTCACACAGGATTTACTGTAGCTCTCTGTAAGGCTTTAATCAAGCTATAATTTAGCTCCGACAAACAAAAGGTGCAGACGGAAATCAACGAAATCTAGACATCTCATTTGACTCATCTATCTATCTATCTATCTATCTATCTATCTATCTATCTATCTATCTATCTTCACTTGCTTATTTTCAGAAACTGTGTGTTGGTGTTCATGCACCAGCACATGTGCTTGCATGCATTCATAATGTCTTCACAGGGCATAAATCAGAACATGCTATCTCAGTACTTCTTTATATTGGTCAAGGGCCATTGAGCAAAACAGCTTAATGCGCCCTTAACCATTTCAGTCGTGGCAGGAAGTGAAAAGACTGCTGACTCGCTGACACCGGGGCTGATACAGAGTCTGCAGACGGTTATTTTACTAAAAAACAAACATGATGTCGGAGGAAGTGGCTGAAAACGTCTGATAGAGGGAATGAAAATAAGAGAATTCAGTTTTTTTAAGTTACTGGTTGTTTGGTTTGTTTTCTAAGCTTGAAGTAAATATGCTGTTAAAAAAAAAGCAACATGCGTCTGAAGCTTGTTAGCTGTTTTTAGCATGTTAGCCGCGCCAGTTGCCAAACTGTGTTATTGTTAGTAAGCTAACAATTTTAGTGACCGAGTAACTTAATAAGCTAGCTGTGTTAGCACGCCATGTGTTTTTTTTTGGACAGTTTGTTGAGTGAGACGGTTATTTTAGCAAACATGCTGTTTTAGCTAACAAACAAACAAGCCGGGTATTGATACCAAGCTAGCTGTGTTAGCACGCCATGTGTTTTATTAGACAGTTTGGGTAACACTTTACAACAATCATCATTTATAAATGGTAAATTGATAGTTTATTAATGTAAGTTAATAGTTTCTTTACCGTTAACAAGCAATGAAATTATGATGAATAATTTTCATTCATTATTAATAGACTATTTATTGAAGGTTTATATTGGGTTTAAATATCGGTTGTAAAACATGTAGATTAAAATGTGTCAGTAACACTTTGTAAATGTTTAATATCTGGTTAATAAACCATTTATAAAAATTAGTTATTGTAAAGTTAGGGTTAGGTTTTTAAAATTGTAAAATTTACAATTTATTAATGGTCTATATGCTGTTTATAAATGATGGTTAAACATGAAGAAACTATCTGCTTACATTTATAAGTTATGGTTATTGTAAAGTGTTAGTTAAGTGTGAAACGGATATTTTAGCAAACATGAGTTTTTTTTGGCGATTTTTGTCTTTATTGACAGGACAGGGTGAAGTGTGGGGAGATAACGAGAGAAAGGGGGGGACATGCTGCACATGCTCGGGGCTGGACTCAACCCACGATCGCTGCGGGGTCCGTGGTCACCAAACATGGGGGGCGCTAATCCGCTCAGTCATCTGTGCGCCCCGCAGATGTGCTGTTTTCACTAACAAACAAACCGCGCGTTGTTACCAAGCTAGATGTTTTACTTCTCAATAAATCATGATAGCTGTGTGATCAACTGAAGGTATTGATAGTTATTTTATTGATTCAGCTGCTGTGATTAAATCGACTTTAAACTTCTTTAGTGTAGCTTTAAACTGTGATGATGTCAGAGACAGCCCCACCTTCATTAACCAATCATCATACGAGTCCTGATCAGATTAAAATGCTGAAACTGTCTTGGGTCCTCACTGATAACTAAAGTTCTGATCCGGTCTGGCAGCGCCCGGGTTTGGCGGTCTGATTTTCCCGTCATACCTCTGGGGTATTGTGTTTCAGCTTCTCGTTCATGCGTGACTGTCGACACACGAACCCGAGCTTAAACCCTATCAGGGGAGCGCGTCCCAAAGGTTTTGGACTGTGTGAATCTGAGGCTGATCCATAATGAACAGACACTGATTTATATTCACTGTACAGAGACGAAGATGACCTGCTGCTGCTGCTGCGTGTTTTTGTCGGTGTCAGGTGTGAATCCCGATCAAAGACCCTCCTATTTGCCTAACCTGTGATTTGCCGTGAACTCGATGACAACTGCATGACCCGGGCGCACACTGCCGTCGACTGTTCTCCATGGCAGGTGGTGACGGAGCATGTGTGGTCCCCATCACAGGTGTGTGCAATTAGCCTGACAGCTAGTCCTGGATAGCTGTGAAATAAGACCCTCAACTGTTTATGTGACTCTGAGAGGGTGTCGAGGTGCTAGCTTTGGTTTCCAGCGAGTCTAAACTGTTGTACCTGGAACAGATCTTTTAATGAAGGCGGTGGCGGCGGCGTTGTTGTATGATGAAATACAGTAGAGAGCGAGCGTGGGTTGTTGCAGTCAGCTCGGAGAATCTGTGTGTCATTTATTCAGCCTTCTGTAATGGGGAATGGACTTGGAAGAGGAGAGAGGGTAATGTATTGGAAAATATCCCTTTCAGCACCTCAGCATTACTTGTCATAGGTCAGGCTTAAAACGTAGCTTGATACAGTTATTAACTCTAATCCGGGCATAAACACAAATCCTCAAGCACCAGCCCAATTAATAATTTGCATAATTAACATGCATTTTAAATAGAGGCTGCTCTTGTCGTTGCCAAAGCGGGGATGGGGGTAATTAGGGCTAACGGAGCAGCGCCTAGGGCCCTCGCCCGCAGACGTGCCGCAGTCGTTTCCAGCCAAAGGGATTGACAACTGCAAGACAAGCTCTCCCGGCTTAGAGCGAAACCCCCTTTGACAGAATTAATAGTTGACAAACTGCTCCTAAAGCCCCGGCATTGTTTCTGTCAGTTGTTTGGTTTGATGTCACTGTTAGACATTATAAATCAATAGTGTCAGGATTTAGTAATGTTTATCGCCATCCATGCTTTATTATTTCATGTGACTGTCATGGACAAATAGTATTTATCAGAGCTGTCTATAAATTACTGCAGACAGACTGTTGTTGGTTTACCCAAACCCTCTCTGCTCTTACAGCGTCTCCCTCCATATTTACAGTTATTTGTTTTCTCAGCCGTAGGCCCCGCATTAACCCTCTGCTTTCCCGCTCTCCTCCGAGACTTAGCGTGGCTCCATCGCCGCGCCTTCGTCGACACATTAACACATCAAAAACAGCTGATCAAAGTGCGTTCAGAAACAGCTTGTCGCATCTGTTTTGAGAGGAGATTTGATTCCAGTTTGTTTACCGAAGGTCTTAAAGTCCGATCGACAAAACGGACACGCAGAGGCTTTTATATATTTTTGCCGTTTGAACTCTCTCGGTAACATAATGAGTTTTTATCAGAGGTTAGTCACTAAATAAATCACAGATTTATGATCCTTTTATTCAGCCGGCCGGCTCTCACTCCAACAGAATGGTCTTAACCTTTGCATCGGTGCCACACTCATCAAAAACAATTAGAATCATCCGTTTTAATGAGATGATTGATGACTCGGCTTTCACAACAGAGAGAGCGCCGTGATGGATGCTATCAGGTAACATTACTTACATTAACACATGGATTTGTCTTGTTTACATTGTCCATCATAATGAATAGGGAACAATGAGCCGCTGGTGAGAAATGCGCACAGCTTCAGTCAGGTGTCGTGATGATCTCCCGCTCAGTTTCTTCTATTTTAACATTAATAACTGTTGCAGAGACTCGGGTTAACTTCGTCTAAAGTGTCGTCTACATATTTCCAAAAGCTGAGAAAGGATCCGAACAGAGAAAAGAGAGGGTAAGCCTGGCTGAGGCGGTGATATTGATCAGCTGTGCCATGGATTATAAGGTCCACTTTCAGCAGGGAGGTCATTAGTTACTCCTGTGTGCTAATTCATCCCCGGGTTGAGGCGTATCCGTTAGAATGCTAATTCACTACTATGATCTGACAGCTGGGGTAAAGAAAGGGCCAAGCAGTCTGCCGCAGAGAGAGGAGAGGAGAGGAGGAAGAGGAGAGGAGGGGGCTGCAGAGGCCTGCCAGTCTGCTCCTGTGTTTTGGTAAAGACCAGGACTTCTGTACTCGGGATACAGCACCGAAAAAAAGAAGAAGAAGAGGGGTGCAGATCTGACCCCTGCTGTCTCTGCCCCCCAGCTCTAATGATGTAAAAGAAAGATGACATTTGGTGTCCACATTTAACTTGCATTTTCAGTCCACTTGAGAGGTCCAGTATGCGTGACCTACCTTGATTAAGCCCGGGGCTTCCCAGGACCACCGTACCCTTTAGACTGAAACAAAAAGTGGGAGCTCGCAGGAGAAAGCTGAGCCTGTATAATTGGGCCAAGTAGAGCTGCGGGAGGCAGCCAGTCTCCGCTTTGCCTTTTGTATATTCATGACCCCCTCCACTTGATTGATGGAAGGATAGCATTTGGTGACACTGTCATTTGCAAGTTGAAAAGGTAGTGCAGTGGCTGGAGCGGCGCTGTGGCTGTGCCTTCGAAGGGGCATGGAGAGGAGGCTCATTTCTATGCTGATGATATCCAGCCCCCTCTCATTTTCTTTGTCTCCGTCAGAAGGACATCTGCTGACAACACAGAGTTTAAAAGGAGCCGAGAGGAGAAGGAAACGAGAGGAGGAGAGGGAACATGTATATATCCCTGTGTTTGCATGTGAAAAAGCACACGACTGAAGCATGATGGGAATAATCTACAGTCCGGTTTGTTTTTTCAGATCTGTGTGATATTTCAGGAGCAAATTAAGACAAACGGTTATAAACAGGTTTTAGTTTCAGGATGGGAGGACTCAGATCAGCTGGTTTGGGATGTTTGTGTTCATTTAGAAACCAAAGAGTTGAACCACTTCAATCATATCTGATTGTTATTTCTTTACCTGAATATGTGACTCTGCTAGTTATACTAAATCAAGACTGTTACTCCTCTCAGTGAACAGACAAGCGTTAGTTTAAAGCTCCAGTAAGGAACTTTTGTTCATGTTGACTTTAGCCGTTATGATGTTTTTGTCCTTCACTTCTACACTTTTCTCTTAAACAGTTAATTGTATTTATCATTCAGAGATCTAGACTGGAAAAATGAAGAAGCAGCACATCATCGTACTGAACTTGAACCGGTAACTGTTGAAGATTTGAGATGTTTTTATTTTGGATGGAGAAAAGATGACGGCGCCATCAACCTCATGAGATTATTTTAAAATGACAATAATTAGTCTGATTAAACAGCCGGTAGATCAGCTGATGTTTCTGTAACTACAAAAAATCAACGTACCACAAAGTCAAAGAAGGGAGTAGAGCTGGACAATAAACTGAAAATTTACAGATACTGAAATTTACCACAATAACCGACGTCATTTTGCCCATATGAGGATATTTGGTGACAATAAATAAATAAATAAAGTTGTTTTTGGATGTTTTAAGGTAGGCTAACAAAGAGGTAAAGACAGGTGAGGAGATGGAGGACGGTTCAGAAGTTGGAGCGGCTGAAGTAAACGAAGTTAATGTGGGAGGGGGTGAGCAGCTTGTGGAGTAGTTATCGTCTGTTTATCGTTATGGAGGTGAACTGATCAATATATCCTGATATTGATCTGAGGCCGTATCGCTCAGCCCTAGAGTAAAGTTTTCTTTAGTTTGTGGTTTTCAAATAAAACATGAAGTTTTCTCGTCTCTTTAAACTCTCAGTTTCCTACATGATCTAACAATAGTGTTTCGTCCACTTCACTAAAGTACCTGAAGTTCCCACATTCAGGGACTAATGCTGCACTTTGAACGTCTTTATGTTGGTAATTTGTTGGATCAGAAATAACCCTGTTTGAAGAAGGTCCCTGAGATCTGATCAGAACCACATAATCTGTCCTCATTTAGTCCAGAATGGAAACAACTCTGACAACCCCGTCTGGAAATAGTATCTGTGACATTTGACATCCAACGGTTAATGAGACTTTCAACGCCGCACCACACAGCAGAGATGTCTTAAGCTGTCCAAATATTATCCGAGCTGCACTCGGCCGCTCTGGATGTGTAAAGAAGGACGGAGAAATATCCGTCTCCTGGAGACACTCCTGAGCACTACAACCCACACTTATCAGAGCCACAATTTATAGCCGTGGTGTGAAGTGTTCGCCCGCAACTCCCATCTTTGTATTTACACCAATTAGCACATAAACTCTAATTACCGAGATCAAGGCAGCCGGGAGTCCATAAATGCAAAGCGACACGGAGAACCGAGTCAGCTGACAGCGAGGGAAGGTGACAATAAATAGGGAAGTATCAATTAAGCGCCAATGACGCGATGATGCATGTGTGTGTGCAGGGAGGTGTCACACGCGGGGAGGTGGGAGTGTGAAATGCGTGGGGGCAGCGGGGTCCACGGAAAGTTGCACCGGCTGTGGGGTCTTGTAACTCACGAGCTGACATGCGGCGCGCTGACACGTCGACTGTGCAACACGTTTCAGCATTAACACCACACAACAATCAGGCAATTCTCCTGTGTCTGGGTGAAAAGGAGCATTTATCACAGCGCTAAGGTAACAATTAACACATGCTAATTTAAGAGGCACGTCGCTAAAGGCAAAAGGTATTCAAAGTTGGTCCAAAATAAGCAGAAATGAACACGTCGGAGGGGTTGGAGGACAGCTTTGACAGTTTAAACTTTAATTATAAGGAGTGGAAACTCGCTCGCTCGCAGCTGGAGAAACCAGAGGCTCCTCCTCATCATGACTCAAAAAAGGATCAGCGAGCCGCCGCCGCCGCACACGAGCTCAGGTTAATCCCAATAAATTGAACTTGATCAAAGACTATAGCTGTAAAAAAGTATGGCTCCTCACATTAATCTAACAAACACATAAAACAGGACGGGCTCAGCTCGATAAATTTAACTCTGGCTGCAATAATGCTGATCAGGAGGAATTCGTTGGCTCAGGCCGCCGCCGCCGCCGCTGCCTCCTCCAGTCTGAAGTCTTGTTATCCTCTTGTCTTGATGTGGAATGGTGTTATCTGTTCCCCTCTCCTTGTGCAGCAGGGTTGTTTTTTTTTTTTAGCAGGATGGCCCAGTGATGGATTTGCAAAGAGGCTGTTTACAAGAGAGTGTGGAGCATTAAAGAGCTGCCAGAAGGCCCATTTACATAAATGTTTAAATCAGACACACAGACTTATGCGCCCAAAATGAAGATGTTTCCTGCATTAATCTGCCAACGCCAACAATTAGTCCCCTCCCCTCCCAAACACCTCTCACTCAGTGACCAGTGTTTATGGGGGAGCTAACCCAGAGGAGCAGATATGTGGTCTCTGCTGAGGCGGCTCCAGGACTCACAGATCCATCCTGGGTCCTCAGACCTGGTTTGACCCAGCAGACAGTTTACTTCTTCTTTTTCTCTCTATCAACACACGGCTCCACCGCTGATTTACAGCCTTGTAAAAACATCTCCTCCCTCTGCATGCAGGCCCCCTGCAGATTTACATTGTGGTTGTTATTATGACTTTATGATACAAGTTTCCCTCCGAAACGTCTGGGAATCAAACCGGCAGGAGTAAATATTTGTCTGTGTGATCCTGTTCCCATCAGAAGCAGGAAGAGCTCAAACACAGAAACGGCGGCGATGGTTTCGCTCTTTGATGAGATAAAAGCTCGCTCGGGGACATATTCTGTCTTAACCCCATATCTATATTTCACGCTTAAGTGGACGATCAAAAGACACTTTAGAAATACGGCGCATGTGCAGAGGTTTTACGACGAATATCAGACACCATCGTTTGTTTTTGGTTTCGTTTAGCCGGATTATTCTGATCTTCTCCATGATCTTGTTTTTCAAAACTTTCCTCCGTCAACATTTCTCTCTGTCTGCTTCCTCGTTTCTCGTCGAAGCGCTCCTGGAAGCGACTGAGTGTTTCTGAGAGGAATAAAGCATGCGGATTGATTCCTCCATCACCTGGATAGGCTGTTGATTTTGGGGAGAGTTATCGCTGTTTTCCTAAGTGTGGCGTGGAGATTTGCTGGAGGGCTGAGTGATCGATTCAGCCGCCTGGAGCATCCTAGTGTGTTTATACATGGCTTGTATGGCAGCTTTCATAAGACATTTACCCCATGATTTGCGATGAGCTTATGTGTGAATAATTAATGGCAATTAATCCTTAATTACAGTAATTAGGCAAGTCACAGGAAATTAGGCTGCAGCTGGAGAAGCCCGTGCCGAGGAAGGGAGGACTGGGGCTGAGAGAACGTGCCATTTAGTGACAGCGGCGGTGGCGGCGCCGTGCTACGGTGATTGTGAGGCAGGCCTGCACCGGTGCGCTCGCTTGCCAGGAGAGATAAGAGCGCGGGGAAGACACAGATGCTGCTGACCGGAGAGGGTTTCTGAGCCGGAGCGATCACGGGCTCCCACAGCCAATAAAACCCGCCTATAAAAGCCCCCCCAGCGCGGTGACCTCTGACCTTTAAACCACCCGAATTTGGTCGTTTCACTAAGAAGTTGTGACTGATAAGCTAACGGTAATTGGTTACACATGGAGCTAGATTTTCCTCTTATTGGCCCCCCCACCCTGAGGCGGCGCACTTAAAGAGCCGATGTGCTTTTAACTCCGACTTTATGAATCTGCGGCGGCGGCGGCTCTGAAGAGGAGAAGAAGAAGAAGACGGTCGGAGAAATATTTATTTGCACCTCTAATAAAACAATTAGGTCTGCGTGGACTCGGTGAAGGAGAGTACAGCGGGCCGAGTTGTTTGCTGGCTGAGTTCATTGTTTGGTAATGGACAGAGAGACGATCTGTTCTGAGCAGAAGAATGGGGACGAGGCTCTCTGTGTGTCTGGCTCCCAACTCATTTGTGCTTTTCCATGCTTGCCTTGATGAATTTCCGCTTCTTTCTGCTCCTGTTGCTTTCAATTACACTCTTATTCACAATCCTAATTGATATGCCAGTCTCAGCAGATGAACCGTGGACTTTTTACAGTCCATTTTTCTATTCTTAGACCGACGTGACAAAACCCTCCAGACGACGCAGATCACAGATGTGGATTTGAAGACTCCTTTGTTGTCCTCGTACCTACGTTCAAACCGGACTGTTTTCACGCCGCGGTGTTCTCGGACACTCGGCGGGCCGCTCCCACAGCCGTCACCGACTTTTCCTTTTTTCCCTCACAGAAGGACTTTTAAGCTAACAGGGAATGTAAGTGAGTTGAGGAGGCATCCAACTGTGATATTACATTAACCCATAGTGCTTGGCCATGTCTGTCAGTGAGTGCAGAATAAAGAGAACATGCTCTGCTCTACTCTTTAGCCTTCACAAGTGCTATTAGAAATAATGAGGATTTATAGGAAGATAAAAGACGCCGCTCTCTCCTTCCTCGCAGCTGAATTTCTGAACAGGCGGTTATATTCCAGTATGCAAAGCTAAATAAAACTCACTGCTGGAGTAATCAGATTAGTGTTTGCATTCTATTAAATATTGCATTGCCTCTTATTATTAGACTCAATAACGAGCCGCTGCAGATATGTTCAAGAGCAGATATTGCTTTGGCTGTGATACGCACTCATGTAATAAAAGCTTTTAATCAGAGCTCAGTGAGCATGTTATGTTGCTGCGACATCCAATCAGCTCTCAGTTTCTGCTCCGTGTCGAACACGAGGGAGGAGGAGTGCGGGGTAACAGTACCTGAGCAGCAGCAGCGGCGGCGGCGGCGGCGAGGAGGCTCACGCGCGCAGATGCTGCTGCTAACAGTGACAAGGTCAGCATGTTCTACACATAGATTCCTCACTATAAGTAATATAAATGAGCTTGTGTTAGCCGTAAACTCACAGCGTGTTGCCTGTAAGCTAAAGGGTAACAGCGCTACAGAAACGCGGGTCCGAGGGACCGCAGCATGAAGGATGGACACACCTGGAGGAGCATCTCCTGGGTGGAGAAACTTCTTTCTTCTTCCTCTAGGAAAACTTTGGGATATAGATCTAGAGATGTGTAGCAGCTGCAGCAGCTGCAGCAGAGTTGTTGGTGTTGTTAGGGGCATTCTTGTATCTACACTGGTGTTTACTCACATTGGCAATTAATTATTAATGCGGAAGCAGTGAGAGGTTACAGCGATATGGCGCTCCGGCTTTCCAAGCACACTGTCTGTATATGAAGAGTCGACACAGTGAGAGCTTCAAAGCAGCCCTCTGAAATGTTTCAGACTCTCATGGAGAAAGCTTATTACAGCTGAAATGTTTTTCTAGGAGCCCCAGATATTCTTTGTGAATGCTGGAAAATATGGGGTATTTTTTTTGTTTGTGTATATCAAGAGACGTGTGAACAAAGAGGCAGTCAGCATTTGCAGCTTACTTGGTGTGAGTGTTGCGGTTCACAAGCGAGAACTTGTTTGTGCAAAAAAAACTGTTTTCGCAAAAAAAAAAGTTGATTTGAGACGCGGCGAAAACGTAGGATTCAATTTAGCAGAGGGAGTCTTTTCCTCCTAATAGGAGTCATCACAGATGACGTGAGCACAGCGCCGGGCTAATCAATTTTTCCTTTTAATTTCAGAGCGTCTGTGTCGGACTACAAACGCAGGCTTTGAGGGTTTTTAATAATGAGTCCAGAGATAAACATCAACGGGCAATTTGCTCTTTTTCGGAGGCGTCTTTGTTGCCTGCAGAGCGCTCCTCATGACACCTCTGTGGATCCGCTAATGGAGGAGGACCTGTAAGGCTATCCCCTGGCCTTTGTCTGACCCCTTTGTGGAGCTGAATTCTTCAGATGTTTGCAGGATCAAGTCACTTAATCTGTAGCTCAGACTCGGGCCAGAAAAAAGGAGGAGAGGGAGGGAGGGAGGGAGGGAGGCAGACAAGCGCCTCACTCAGTCTGAGGGCAGAGCGTTCACTCGCAGGCTAAAGAACTGCAAATGTCTGCCTGTTCGGTTATGCACCATTGTTTCATAGCGAGCTGGAAACAGACAGAAAGAGTGCAGCAGGCGGTGCGTTTTATTACCGTTAGACTTAGACATTAGTGAATATGGCTCATTAAATGGCATGGAGTGTTACCATTTTACATAATTCCTCCTGTATCCTTGTTGTAAATGAAAGCCCGCTCCTGTCTCTGACTGCACTCCACTCACTCTGACTGCAGCCGTTACTGCTTTCCCATCATGCCCCGGTGCCCCCCCCCCCTGTTGAAAGCAGCTATCTATAATTTCAGGTCGGTGTCACACGCAGAAAGAGTGCTCTACAGGCCTTAATGGTTCGGCGTGGCTGATGTGGAAAGGATATAGCGCAAATCTGAAGAAATATTTGAGAATTAGAAAATGATGTATTCAGACGACGAGGGTGGGCTACAAATATAAATTATGGATGTGGCAGGGCTCCCAAACATAAGCTGGAATTTGCCGCCGCACTTTTTGTTCTCAATCACCTTGATGAAACAATCCTGAAGCGATGGCTGCATGAATGAGACCACTGACAAGCTGATTTTCCACCCCCGGCATGAGGCTGCTTTCTCCACTTAATGTTCTGCGATAAAGTGTTGCACAGAAGTAAACCAGAAGAGCCTCCACTCCTGACACATGTGACAGTATTTGCATCAATTATGCAGTCTGTGGCTGCGGCTGGGAGGGAGGGAGGGGAGGAGATAGGGGAGAGAAAAGGGTTTGTGACAAGATGCAGAGGCAGAAATGAGGACTTCTCTTTAAAATGCATTCTTTAGAAAAAAAAAAAAAGGGAAAAAATAACACTCAAGATCATTTACATGAAAGCGGCTGCAGCAGCAGCAGCAGCAGCAGCAGCGGTGAACCTCCACAAAAGCAGCAGCAGCGGCGGCACAGTCTGCGGAGCGATTTTGACACTAAAGACTTTGGCAAACAGAGTACAGTAGAATAGAGTGTTCTTTGTCTCCTCTGAATTCACTGTTTGCTGAAAATCTACCCTGAAGAGAACCGGAGGAGACAGCGAAATGAGGAGAGAGAGACGCGGTCGGAGCTGAGAGGGAGGCTGGAGTCCTTTACTGCTAAACTCCAGCAAAGGAGTCGGACATAAACAGAGAGAGTATAGAGCTGCAACAACTAGATTCACAAAGACAATTAATGACCGACAACACTGCTGTCACTAAAGAGCGAACTGAAGGAGAGACAGAGAGAAGAGAAAGACGTCCTTTTTTAAAATACAGAAAAGTTCATAAAACAGACTCAAGAATCAAAAGTGAAGGAAGAACAGAAAGATACTCCAGACTTTACGGTAATTTACTGTAAACGCTCTTAAAGCTTTCCTCCTCTGTTGGGAACATTTTCAAAAAACCAAGTGTAATAACTGTTTAAGATAAATAATGAAAAGATGTTTACACGAGGCTGAAGCCAAACACAGAGAGAACAGAGAAATTTAACTTTTACAACAACAACCCTTAAAAATGAGAGTGAGGACGGTTTTAAGGATCTAAAGGTGAAGAGGTCGACCTGTGATGCAAGGAGAAAAGGTTATTTACTAAAACTGCTTTTGTAGAGTTCATATTTTAATGATTGAAATTAAATAAAATGTTGTTAGCAATGCAGAAAGAAAAGAGCAATAGTAGAGGAATAATTTTACACTCTGCCAAAAGTTTAAAAAAAAAATAAGAGTGACATGAAGAAGAGGTTAATAACAGTAATGATTATGCTAAAGGACCCGAGTACAGAGAGAAAAGACACCCTGGCTCTTTTAGATCTTACTATAAGAACACTCGTTTGGATTTAGTGACAAAAATGAAAAAACAAACATGATTTTAAGGAATAATGGGAGTTTCAGAAAGGCAGAAAAAAACATGTTCTCTACCATAACTTCTCTGAGTTTCTGATTTTACATATTTCACCTGTAAACAGTTTTTACATTTAGACTGACAAACTCTCTCTAAGATCAAAACTAAAGGAAGTTTTTAAAAGGCAGAAACTGCTGAACAATCATTCATTCATTTCATTCTTCGCTTCTTTACGATTTAGTAAAATGAAAACAATAATCTCAAAAGACAAAAAAACTAAAATGCAGAAAGAGACGATAACCTGTGTCTTTCTGCTCCGAATGTTTTTATGATTTCATACTTTGCTCGACTAAAATGTCAGAAAACATCGTCTAAAAATCCAAAAAGGAGGAAGAAAAGAGTTTACACTGACTATCTGGGGTCGTATGTGAAGGTTTGGAAAAAGAGGAGTGAGCCAAACATCCTCAGCAAACATCAACCAGGCCGTGGTTATCGTGGTTATCATGGTTATCATGGTTACCGTGGTTATCGTGGTTATCATGGTTACCGTGGTTATCGTGTGCACCTGCACAGGCAGAGACAGATCTCAGTAACTTTTAAAAACCGTGTCCCAGTTTCAACAGACTCCTGCGCAGCATTTTATGTCACTGTGTCCAACCCTATTTCCCATCCTAGTTAAGTACACTTTACAAATCTGCTGTGCCATGGTTTCTAACCTCACACACACACACACACACACACACACACACACACACACACACACACACACACACACACACACACACACACACACACACACACACAGAGTCACATCACTAGGCCTGTCACTGCCTTTTATCCATCGTCAACCTTCAGCTGTGTGCTTTATCCGGAGTGACACTATAGCAAAGTGCTTGACTGCTTTTTGCCAACAGACTGCAACACTTTAACTGTACTTAGTCATGCATCATTATGGCAGAGTCAGAGCGGCGGTGTGTGTCTGGGAACGCCTGCAGATGGTGGAGGCTGAACCGTTCGGAGGAGAGGAAGCCTCAGTGACAATGATGCTTATTGCATGAGTAAGTGTGTACGGACACACCGACCGCAGTCAGAGGAAAACAGGAAGAAGAAGAGGCGCTGCTGCGGCGGCTAATTCAACAGGCTGATGATTGTGAGATATCTGGTGTATGAAATCTACATGCAGGTCTTTGTTAGGAGGATTCTTTCATGTGCGTATTGATCAGTCATTGTTTACTCCAATCGATGCCGACTTTGTCAAACCCTCCCTCCTCTCTTCCTCGCTCTCTTCCTCCTCGTAGAGATTTAACCCTCTTCTTCTTCTTCTTCTTTGCATCACATCTCGCCGCTTTGTTCTCCTCTTCAAACCTTCCTCCAGCTCAAAATGTGATAGCATTACTGTCACTTGTCACTTTCTCTTTATTTCAACACATGACAAAGCTTTTACATTCGGTATTCTGCTCCACGCACGGGTGTCTCCAACAGATCTCTCCCCGGCTATTGAAAGATAAATGTTAACTTCATTCATCGGAAACCTCATTCAAGGTTCATTCAGAGCCGACTTCTTTCTTCTTTAAGGGAAATGAAGAAACCATTAGCGAAATATTCACTCACACGGAGAAAGAGAATCTTATCTTTATTCCGCATGACCATGCAGAGCCATATTCCTTTTGACATCATTATGTAAAACCAATTTCTCTTTCATATCATTTCCGCTGTGCTGCATTACCACATCTATACACTCACTGTTCTTTATTACAAAGTAGGTGGCCTGGAGGAAAATATATGCATTCATTCCCTATGGCATAAAATATGCATATAGGTGCCTCATTTCATCTCCAATCTGTGTTATTCCTTTAAAAATTCAGCGCTGCCAGCAGTCCCTCTCTTTAATATTTAATCTGACAACTTTTTAATCTGTCTTTATGTGATGATGAAGTAATCGTCAGCTGTCAGCCCCCTGATTGAATCATACAAAGGGACTGAAGTGACTGCTAGGTTGTAGGCTTTTTCGCTATTTGTTTTGCCTGAGCCGTCCGTGAGGCTGCAGGGTAAGAATATATTCTTTCACACACTAATTTATCTTCCATCTTTATTCATCTTTCCTCCCAGGCCCCCCACACAAAGCACAACCATGTATAACACTCATACATCATTCATACTTTGTTTACCCGCTTTTATTTTGAAGGGGATCAAAATACCAGAGCGCTGTTGGTGTACGGTTTCAAAGAAAGGGAATCTCATTCTGCATCTCCGCCACTTTTAAAGCCGCTCGCTCATTAGCATGTGATGATAGTTATTATTCCCCGTTCGCTCCTGATTTCTTAAAGCACAAGAATATTTATCAGGCGGATAAACAATCAGCAGGAACCTCTTCAGATTCTGCGAGTCTGGACCGAGCTTCAGATGAGTGATCCGCTCTGTGCTATCTCCGCTACAGCAGAACCTCTGCTGGCCTCTCTGACAATCTGGCCATGTTGGGCCCCCACTGTGGAGCAGCATGGCACTGGGAGTTGTGGTAGCCAGTCCCCCCATAGCCCCAGGCTGCCTCTACCTTTGGTTTGCTACTCAAGGTTAAAGGATCCCAGTTGGGTGTTTAACAGTCTGAACGGCTTTCCGCCTCCTTTTCCTGACACTATCTGAGCGGACCTGGAGATCGGCTCCTCTTCAGGGCCTGTTTTACATCCACGCTGCAGCTCCTAGGTCACTCCTCCTGGCTGTAAGATTTCTATAGCAGACCTTTAAATCCCCACACCGCTCTAATGCTCTTATAAAGTAGCAGGGGTAAGTGATTTGAACCGTTTTACGGGGAGGATCTGCTGTTTGCCGAACACGTGCAGCTTTTGCTGACATTCATTTTGAAGGCGCTCGCGACTCGGGGTAACAATGCAGGAGGAAAAGTGCCTGCTGAGCTCTACAGTGAATATACCTCTGACCCAGCCTGAGGAGAGGGAGATTTATGAAATCCACATGTTTAATACATTTCATTTTGTCCAAGGGATTTGTATTGCTTACCACAGTATTTTAGGGCCTGAAACATTCGCTGGAGTCACAGCTCATATTGTCTGAGGAGAATAAACCCTGTCCGCCGTCTTCTGCCTGCCTGCTAGAGATTTGTTTTATAGCACCTCCCCTCCGCCTCGCACACGTCTCTCCACTATTGCATTTTGTTGTGCTGAGGTGTTAGGTATACACACCCTTAATCTTTCATGCATAATCCCCCGAAAATCCGGTACGTAAATGAAAAAGATAACCCTCATATCAGCGCGGTGACAGAACGGGAGATAGCTGGGTAATTTAATAAAGGATTGACGCTGGCCCTGCTCTGATATTGTGTGTGACCTCTGTGTATTCATTGTGAGGCGAGGAGCAGGTGAGAGGAAGAGGAACGCCGCCTCCTTTTTTTCTAAAAGTGCAACATCTGCGGCGACAAACACGACGCACCATATGGATTAAAGCGCAAGGAGGGGAGTCACTGAAATATTTGCTTTCCCAAAGTGTTGACACAGCGGGAGGAAAAAAAAAAAAAAAAGAGGAAGAAGCACGGCTGCACCTTCCCGCCGCTCTAATCAGGTAGCAGTTATCGCGCTCGAGTGTTTGCCTACATAATGGCGTTTCCATTCGGTGTCATCCGCTTCCTGTTTGCAGGCCGGGGCCGGACAGATCCCAGTTTTTCACAGCGTTAGAAAAAAAAACGGAGGTCTTTAAACACACAGAGTCATAAATAGTCTGCTGGAGAGCCCTTGTTTTACATCCAAAAGCACCTGAGTGTATTATTGACAGATATAGCTTGTGACGAGTGATAGTCAGAATGTATGAGCGCCCATTATGCCGCCTGTCAGGCAGCGGTGCCAGACTGAAAATAAGCAGTTCACCTCTGTTTTCATTCAGCCGAGTGCAGCAGCAGCAGCAGCAGCTTCTCTCTGTATTTATTGACTTGTTTTACTAGCCTGAAACAGGGCGCTTTTATACGGAGGTCTGCTCCGTCTTAAGACTCTCCAGACATTTACATTATTCCTGACTGAGTTACACACACGTATAAAGCAGCAGCACGTCTGCAGGCCGGCTTAGATATATGCTCTTTGTCTCGCTCCGTCTTCTGACTGCACCGTTTTAGACCTTTTCTTCGATATTAAAGATAATTATTTAACTTTGTATGAAAACCAGAACTCACTCTTCTGTGTTTAAAAAAAACATCTTTCCTGATTCAGATTTCACGAGGCTCTAAAAAAATCATCTTTCGCTGACTAATCTGCACGACTGCAGCCGAAGATAATGAATGCAACTCCCGAGTCAGAGCCGACCACGACGCTCTAAACCCCCCACCACCACCGCCGCCACCGCCACCGCCACCCGGCCTAAACCTCCAGCAGTATTTAGATGATATTTCATTTTAGAATAAACCTCTTTTCTCTCCCACTGTGAAGATATTGAACTCTTTCACACAGATGTCATCTTAACCAAAGCTTATTAAAAAGATGGACATCAAAGTTGTGGGCGCCCATTTATCTTAGAGCGCTCTAATTGGCCACCACAGGCAAGAGAACAACTAAGTCCAAAACAGGAGGCGTGGAGCGCTCGGGCTAAAGAAGAGGATGTCTAAAGACCTCTCCGTGGATTCGTTGCCAATAAATCCCCTGGAATGAAAGCGGGGCTTTTCTGGGAGGGGATGGAGTTTCACAAATACATTATGAAACCTGATACGCTGAATTAAGCCAACACTTATGGCCACGGGGTTCGCTTCCTTTGTTCGCCGCTACATTGTCCCGCGCATGACCTGAAACTCGAATGTTTGCCTGACATCCACCGTGAGGCGATCCGCTGTGAAAAGGTCACACGGCGCAGCAGCCATGAGTGAACTGAGATTTCATTTCGCTAACTCCACACAGCACGCCGCTTTGTTTTGTGGGGAGAGGCCGTTCGCCGCGATGAATGGAGCTGATTCTTCAGCCAGAGTCGCCGCCACTCCATCAAACGCCACGCACAGGCCCGAGGTGAATAATGCATTATGTTTTCCACTCAAGTGGGCAATAAAAACACAAAAACAAAGTCATTAATTGCCCACATACAGTAACCAAATGCCATCAAGAGCCCGTGCTCTCATTAACCTGGCACCTAATTATCTGCCTCCAGTCTGAGTCCTGACAAGCCCCTCCGTCTGAACCCTCAGCTCGGTCGCGTTCTGTTGTGTCAGCACTCGCCGACCGCAGCCAAGGCGCCATTAGGTACGGAGGAGACAAAAGCTTCTCGCTGCAAAGGTTCCCTCTGCACGCGCCGCCACAATGTTCCTCCTGTTAATGCCTTCCCTTCCAATTAAATCTGCGACTGTTAATTATTGTAATTATGAGAGCGAGCTCCCAGCTCTAACCCCTCCCTCGCCGCTGTGTGGAGACGCTACGGGAGCTGTTGTGGAGCCTCAGCGGCGCCTCGTCTCTGCTCCACTGAAGCCTTAGCGGGGGATAGGAAGGCGGCCGGGGATTTGGTGCACATGACGGGGGTGACGTGAAGGAGAGAGCGCGGTTCATCTTGGATAACTGGGCGAGCGAGTCACAGCCAATGGCGACGCCTCTGGTCCGACTCATTAAATGGTGTGTAAAGAACATGCTGGGAATAATTAGCCTGAAAAACCTTTTTTTGGAGAATCATCTGAAGGTGAAAACAGAGACGAGGTTTAGGAGATGATGTTGGTGTTGCTCAGAGCGCTGCGGCGGTGTTTCTTCACTGCGGTCTCAGGGTCATGTGACTTTCTTTGAGAGACACTCGCGATGGATCTGAAGTGATGTGTTGAGTATAAGGAGAGCTGAAAAAGAGTGGATGGCAGGCCGGCTGCCTGTTAAGTCTCTGCGTGTCTCAACATCCTCTTTGGCCTGCTTCTGTCACAAGCTGTTGTTTGGCCTGGACCTGATCTGCCCAGCCACTCCTTATTGCGCTGCACTCTGCAGACCTAACACTAACCTGCAACATCAGGCGCAGCACGCCCGCACAGGCAGCACTCTCCTTCAGGTGCGTGCAAACCTCCGACACTCTGGAGGTGGATGTGTTGGTTTTTTTTTGTGTGTGAGCTTTATCAGTCCTCACCCAGAGATGTTTTGGAGAATCAGCACGTCAAGCGCAGACTTATTCCGCTCTCGTAACCTCACTTGCCTCATAGCAGAGTCCTTACACGCTAGCACGGCTAGCAAAGAATCCCGGCTCTCCGGTTTGGAGCTGAATTCTCTTCTCTAAAAGACACTGAAGGAAAGAGCAGCTCCTTCTGCTCCAGGCAATGCAGCCTTTTCGTGGATACACTGCAAAATCTAAATGATGGACTGTCAACTCTCTTGCAGAAATGCCACTGCAAAGAATAATCTCTCTGGCAGTGGATCATGGTTGGCTGTATGCTACCAATGCCGTTTCTTTGTTTATGCGAGCGTGTAGCCTTCACACACACGCACACATGCAGACACGAGCGTATGCACACACACACACATACACAGGCACAGAGGAGCATGCAAATCCAGAGCGCACACACAAAGTGCTTCAAGCCCAAATCCTTTCTTTGGGAGCATATAGCAGTGAAATATATGGGATTAATAACCTGAATAGCATTATTTTTTCACCTCTAGCCTTTAAAATAATGCATGCTTGGCTCGGTATATCTGGATGAAGTTTTTTCGCCCGTGTGTTTGCATGGTTATCGGTGTGTACAAGACCTGCTGTGTGACCTGGTTTCATGCAATCTCCATCTTCTAATTAGGAGGCTGCAGAAAGGCTGGAACGAGAGGAGGAGTGATTAGTTGCCTTTGGGTATTTCATAAGTGGCTTTCAGTGCCACATTTGCATTATTTGCTTGGGGTCTGAATAACAAATCAGCCTACCTTTGCAGCAAATTGAGGCTAGCAGCTAGACCATCAATACATGAAATATAAAATGAAAGTGAAGAAAAGGAATAAGCTAAACACGCTAACACAATACAGAGGGATGAAATGAAATATAGGAACACAAACCACAATAACCGTCTGAGCCGGTCTGAGCGCAGAGTCGACCTACAGCGCAGACGCTTCAATATTTAAAGACTCTCATTTTCATTTACGGTCGTGTTTCACTCGTGACATCAGACTCGCCAAAACACGACTCTCTCAGCGACCAGCGGAGCGTCTGAACCGTGTGAGTCTGAACGCCGCAGCCCCGTGCTGTATGAGTCCTGTAGGGTCAGTCAGTGTGCTGATCTGTAGCGGAGGTCCTGTCCACTCATTTGGCCGGTCTCCCCCGACCGCTGCGTGCGGCCGCCACCGCCAGGCCTGGTCAGCCATCACTGCACCACTTGGCCGTTTGCCCACACTGAGTCTTAGAGGGCAGGAGACAAAGCGGGCTCTGACTAGTCCACATACAAACACACACACACACACACATGATCACAGCGAGTGACAGTGGCCCTTGTTTACCCGGTCCCCCCGCCCCCCCCCCTCCAGTCTGTCATGTTGTGTGTCACTTCCCACAAATGTCAGCGCCACCATGGGACAGTGATTAATTTTGGTGTGCTTGGCAAAATGTCTTCAAGATGTTTGTTTGGGTTGTCTTTTCCCACCCCCTCCGCACACCCCCGCTCCCCCGCATGTCTTGGAGTCGTGGGTCGAGAGTGGCATGCCCTCCTCCCCCTTCCTCCTCCCCTGCAATCACGCCCCTCACCCCCGCTGTCACAGCCTCCCTCCTTTGAGGACGAGGAGAGTGGGGGCTCATCATCATCATCATCATCATCGTCACAGAGGGACAAAGGCTACCTGAACTGACAGAGATCTTCTTTTCTGACCACAGACACTTTTTGTCAACACCGCCCCCCCCCACTCCCACTCCCACCACCTCCATGTGCTGTCTGTTTAGTGCGTGCTGGTGGTGTATGATGGGAGAAGTCTTGACCCAGCACTGAGGGGCTGTAACACTTCACTGTCAGCGCGGCTGATTAGCTTATCACTCACCGCACTGGGAGGAAATACATCATCGTTTCAGACAGGGATTCCCCGGTTTAGGGTCCGTTCTCTGTCTGCTTCAACTCTGCATTTATCAGCAGACTCTCTGCCCCCCCCCACTTCAGTATTTTACACTTAAAACTAAAGCGACAATCTGAGCTGAGCATTTCTGAACTTAGGAGTGATAAACACTGAAGATTCATGGTGATGAGAAATGATCTGCATGAGCAAAGAGTCTGCAGACACTGCAGGCAGTCACATCAGAGTGGGTTCTGTCACAGACTGTTAAAATATTTTTGATATTGATTAAACATATATTTTTAAAATCTTTTTAAAAATGCACATAAAACATAAAACAGTTTCTGTTTAGTTTTTGGTCAACGTCTGTGATGAAGATGAAGTTTAATTTTTCTGCTCCAAGTGTTGCAGAAATCAACATTTTAGTCCATTTCATGAATTTGAAATCAAATATGTTTCAGACTAATACAATAGACACATTGAATTATAATGTACACAGAATATTATAATAGTTGTAAACATAAAAATGTGATATTTGCAGTAAATATCAGCCGTCATGATGAGTGATTATCGGCATCGTGGTTAAAGCAAAGACACGGGTCAACCACTTACATCGACACAACTACATTATGTGTAAATGTGACAGACTGAAGTGGTGTTTATATGTCTGTTAAAGCCGATACAGAGGTGTCTTTCACCTGCTTTACCTCTATTGGCCAGCAGGGGGCAAAGCTAGTGGTTCGAATATGAAAATTAGACGGGGATAAAAACCCGAAGTTTTCAGTTACAGTTATTAAAGTCTTTGTCATTAGTTCAAACTTTTCTTTAAAGCAACATGATTGTCCAGTATCGTCCCATTAGGTGGGAAATACCTGTGACTGTCAAGCGTTACCATAGCAACACGTCAAAGCAAATCTGCCCTGTAGTCCAAATCTGAAACCTTCTGGTTTATGCTAATGTACAGAAAAAAGATCTTCACAACCACAAAGACTTTGTCCCCTTTGTTTACACATGCTGAGTAAATACTAACACACACACACACACACACACACACACACACACACGCACAGACACACCGATACTGAAGTCCGACACTAAAAAAAGGAAAACTACTCGAGCCATCTTCCCAAACTCCTCTCCTCCTCTTCTTCTTCATCCCACTCAACAAAGAAAGTGAAACACAAAGTGGCAAACGTGCTTTGGCTTCCCCACAGTGTGGTATCAGGTATGGTAATTACTCTGCCATTAACATTGGGAATAGTTAATGTGTATTAATGTGTTAATGGCATGTTAATTACTGTACATGCAAGAGAGCGCCCGCAGGCGTTCTCTCAGATTCTTTGTGCCATGTGGATGTAGGCCAAGCTTAAAAAAGCCTTTAAGAACGTCGATGAAAGAGGATCCTTATGTTTCATTTGTCAGAACAAAAGATTTTCAATGGTAATTTGATCCCGCTTCCCCCGCGCTTCTGCAGCTGAAAGTCACTGATCCAGGCGCCACGACAAAGGAGATGATATGAAGTCAAAGGAGACGTGGATGATGGCGGCTGTAGTGACACTGGCCTCTTTGTGAAATGGATACTCTAAGCTCTCTGTAGTCTCCAGTGTGTTGCTCTGGCAGCGGGTTTTAATAACACGGTGGATTAGAGGCCTTGGATCCTGAGTACCAAGCTGGAGTTAAAGCTCACCTTGGACGAGCCTCAGTAACAGGCGAGATGCCACGGTCCTCCTCCTCCTCCTCCTCCTCCTCCTTCTCCTCTTTGCACACATCGTCTACTCCGCGGCTTTAAGAGAGATGACCTTTGCAAATATTGACAGAAAATAAATTCTGTTTCGATTGGTTAGCTTTGGGAGACCTTTGCGGATCAATGCAATTAGATGAACAGAGTGTCGATACGCGGCTGTACGGCGCTGTTCACTGGAGGTAGGAGAGGAGCTGCCGGAGGTCAGGGTTACTCCTAATGAACAGGATGTTTGGGAAACTGTTGTGGAAGTAACGGAGTTACAGTGTGTATCATCAAAAACGGTCCAAACACAGAGGCTGGAACTTTAGTTCTGTCTGAAACCTTTACCAGAACTGACCGATAAAACCAGTATCAGGAGGAACACATATTTATATGAGTTTGATTTTAGCCAATATCAGTTTTAATAAAAGCAGGTAGTGGTACCTGTATTGGTATCAGCTGATATTGGTGCTGTATTAGTGATCGATAATTTTGGTACTGATATCAGGGTTGGTTGGTATCAGTGAAGACGGATGGTGATAACTTAGAAAACTGATATTAGTCCATGTATGAGTATTAGCAGATATCAGAGGTTGTATTAGTATCAGCAGATATCGGTATTGGCAGATATCGGTGTTGGCATAAGCATGGCTGGTTGGTGGATTTGTGATCTTCCTGAACCAATGTTAAGAAATATAAATATATTGAGAAAATATTGTCATTGGTATCAGTTTTGGCACATGTCAGTGTTGGTATCAGTATGAGCAATTATTACAATAATTACTGGTGTTGACAGATAGAGGAACTAGTATCAACAGTGGCGGATAATAAGACTTGTTTAACTATTGGCTTATTCTGGTACTGCATCAGTGTGGGCAGATATTGATCATTACAATCAATTGTATCAATACTTGTGGCAGGTATTGGCAAAGGTATTAGTACTGAGAGGTATCAGTTTGGATACTGAGCTGTATTGTACTAGTTTGGATAGATACCAGTAGCTTAAATCGGTGATAAAATATATATCAGTTCTAGTATCAGTATTGGCAGATATCACAACTGGTTTAGTGGTCATGAATATTGGTAATCATATCAGTAACGGTAGATATTGGAACAAGTATTAGATTTGGTAGATATCAGAAGTGGTATCAGTATAAACTGATGTTAGTATTGGCTTACAGTGAAACTGATATCAGTAGTGATAGATAAAAGCAGTGGTATTATTGGTGTGGGCAGGTACTGATGACTAAAATCAATGTTTATGATCTGATGTAGAAGAGCTTGTATCAGTATTAGCAGATATCACAGAGATATCACACAGAGTTGATATTGGTAATCGTGTCAGTAATGGTAAATATTGGAACAAGTATTGGTTTATATCAGACCTGGTATCAGTATTGGCAGACACTGACACTGATATCAGTCGTAACATATATAACAGTGGTATTATTGGTGAGGGCAGGTACTGATGACAAAGATCAATGATTACGTTCTTGTATCAGTATTAGCAGATATCAGTATTGATAACTGTATCAGTAATGGTAGATATATAAACAAGTGTTAGTTTATATCAGAACTGGTATCAGTATTTGCTGATATTAGTATAGGCAGATACTGACACTGATATCAGTGGTGACAGATATAAACAGAAGTATTATTGGTCTGACTAAAATCAATGATTATGACCTTAAGTACAAGAGCTTGTATCAGTATTGACAGATATTTAAACGATTATTATTGGTGCTAACGTCTAAACAAGCTAACGTTAGCTGCTGTGTTTTCTTCACTGCTGGTGGATAAAATAATAATTTATTAGTCTAAAAAGATCATCCAGTTTATTTGTAAGAGTCTGGTTTCAGGTCGAGGACTCCTCCAGTGTTCGGTCTGGTTTCTGACGATGCAGTCAGTGCAGCAGAATGAGCTGGAGAAGCCCAGAGCCAGCCCTTCCCTCTTCAGCAGGCCACATTAACCCAGCAGGGCTCTGCCTTTATGGCTCTCCTGCTCACACTTCAGTGATGAGAGTAAACAAGCAGCGGGCCAAAGGTCAGCTAAGCCCACAGAATAAAAGAGGGCACAGGGGGGAAAAGAGGTGGGAGGAAAAAGGAGAGCGGCCCGAGGCGGTGCTCAGATCACTGTCAGGGCTTCAAGCAGGGAATGATGTACGAGACAACAGCCCAGGACCGGAAATGATTATAAACAGAGAACAGGGGAGAGTATATGAGAGAAAAGGGGCCGCATTGTCTTTATCTGTCAAATTTGTTACTTCCGCAGATCTGATAGGGACGGTGAAACCTGTAAAAAATGAAAAGAAGAACCAGCCCTGACTGATAGGGATGGATTAATCACAGCGTCGCCTTTTGTCTCCGTCACACAGGAGAAATGAGGAACAATCATATAGGCAAGTGCTTTCTCCCCAGCCTCTCCACCTGTGTTGTTGAGTGACAAATGAGGCTGATTAAGGACGTGTTACATTACTACTACACTTTTCCCTTTTTTCTCTCCCTTTACATCATTAAACTCTGGTAATTAAGTGAGCAAGCATCATCAGAGCCGTATGAAATAACCGGAGCACATATAGATTTTTCATTCTTAACTTCCCCGTTGCTCGCAGGCTTTACCAAGGTGACACGACTCCCGCACTCTCCCTTTGCTCTGAGATTAATCCCACTTTGACTGTGGAGGTGGATTAGAGCTCAACTCGGGTGCCCAAACTTGTTTTAATACCCATATCATCAGACAAAAACAGGATAAGGATTTGAGCAGGCGAGCAGCATGGCAGTGCTAGAATGTGACTGTGGCTTTGCAAGTTACTATACAGATTTGTCAACCACACAGCAAATTAAAGATACTATCTCGCCTGAGCCTATTTTGTGGAAGTTGTGTGATGATTCTGAGCTTAGACAGTGAATCCGCAATCTCTAGCTGCTCTAACAAAGGTGCAGGAGAACAGACAGCCAGACGGAGATATACAGCACCTGTTTTTTTCTTCTTCTTTTTTTTCCCCGGCTGTTTTCTTATTTTTTTTTTTTAATTCTTAGTATTTATCCGCTGGAGACAGACACGTCATCCCTCCCAACATGTGCGTTATGAATGGCCAGCTGCAGCCGCTGTGGCACAAATACACCCTGGTGGACTCCTGCAGGGCCGTCTGCTTCTCGGGGCAGCACAGTAATCATTTTTATCCCGCTGATTTCCCAAATAGAAATAGACACGTATGATAAAAATGTCACGGCCACTCCACATGTCACCGGACTAACAGGATTACACGTCACTTTCTAAAGTCTCGCTCTGGTTTTCCTTTGCTGTGAGTAGACACATTATTGCACACGGGAACTTTGCGGTAATATATGGTAAGAGACTGGTAGCTGTTTATGGCCTGTGATTATTTAGTTTGAATGAAACCGGTGATTTATGCCCATTTAGCTGAAAAGCCCTGTAAATTCCCCCAGCTGCATTTCCCCTGGATACAGAGTGAGTGGAGTGAAAGTGACAACTGGGTTTGGTGTGGAAATGTACGCCGCGTCCCGGAGTTATATTTAATATACCTGACATGAAAAACATGCCTACCTACTTACCACCACCCGCAGCACGAAGCAAAGTGCAGCCTGCTGAGCCTGCGTGGAATCAGAGAGTGGGAGTAAATAGTGGATTAGAGGAAAAATGAACTGTAGTGGCAGACAAACCGGCAGCTATTAGAGGGACACAGGGAGATCTGCAGCCAGCAGTCTGGGCACAGCCAGCGCTCGAATCATTTGGTTTCCTGCTGCACAAACTGGACTAGAAAGAGGCGAGCCGGTCCAGAACGAGGGCTTTGGGTGGAGTTAGGCTGCAGATGCAGTGTGATGTGGATCAGGGTTAGTGGAGCAGTGGCATATTGTCCACATGGATGGGCTTGGCTCTCTCTGCGAGCCTGATGGAGCCTTGTCCAGCATCTCAATGTCTCCAACACAAATAGCCACATTCATCCACTCCTCTCACACCATTACACCTAAAAGACTCAAAGCCAGCCCATCCATAAATAGAGTCAAATTTGTTTTTCAGCCGCTCCGCCGCCGAACAAAAACACCAACAGAGATGAAAACATCAGAGGGGCGGCTACAATATGATGCGCTCCCTAATTTGTTTTTATTCAGGAGTGTTTCTGCCTCTCTGGCGTTTACTCCGGTGGATGTTTGCAGGGTCAGTCGGTCAAAGCCTGCTAAAAGGGCTCCTCTGATTGCATGCCTACTGGCTGACACAATGGAGCCACTAATCTTCTTATTTAGAATCCAGAGGCTGGCCATATCTTAATGAAGCTGTAATGAGCTGTTGAAAATCCCTGAATTGCGGGAGGGATTATTGAATTGAAACAACTCTGGTAATCATAACGTTCGAGTAGCCACTCAGTATTTACTGCCCATTGAGCCACATTTATATCCACTTATTAGAGTGGATTGCTCCGGCTTGTTTTTGTTGTAATTCTGACCTGCAGTGTGTGTTTTGGTTTGTGTATTTCCCGAACGCTCAGTGCATCAAGGTGTGCATGTATGCTATCTGCAGGGTGATTATGACCTGCTGACAGGCTGGCGAGACAGAAAAACAGCAGGGTCTGAGTGCAAAAACTGATTACATGAAAGAGCACTTTGCATGAAAATGACTCTGAACTCATTTGCCGTTTTATTTCTCCGGCACATTTTTACGACCTCTCAGAACAAAGCAAAATCAGGATTGTAAAACCGTACAGCGCTCAGCCCTCGTGAGCCAATGAGAAAGGAGTCGAGGAGCGGTTGTTAGTTTTGGGAGCTCCCAGCGTTCACTGTGTGTGTGTGTCAAAGACAGAGACACTTACTCCAGGTATAGTTTTCTGTTTAGCATCCTCTCTCAGAGTACAAGTGCCACTTCACCATTGAGCATTTGTCACTTTATGGATGTTGCTGTCATGTCAGGCTTCCCGTACACACAGTGTGTGTGCAGCGCAGTGTGTAAATAAAAGAGAACAGGCATAGACACGGGGCGACAGGAACACAGCACACGCACAGGAGGCAGCAGCTTCATACCTGCAGGGGAAACATCACACAGCTCCGCACACGTCATGTTTCCAAGAGTCGCTGCGGCCCGATGTCATCGTTTACGATTTAGATGATTTGGCGAATGCTGATCGTCTGTCTCTTATTTTGTGTCCCTGCAGGTCTCAGCATCCGCGGCGCCCAGGAGGAGGACCCCCCAGACCCCCAGCTCATGCGCTTAGACAACATGTTGTTGGCGGAGGGAGTGGCGGGACCGGAGAAAGGCGGCGGATCTGCTGCTGCGGCGGCTGCGGCCGCGGCCTCCGGCGGGGCGGGCGACAACTCCATCGAACATTCCGACTACAGAGCCAAACTCACCCAGATCAGACAGATCTACCACACAGAGCTGGAGAAATACGAACAGGTGAGGAGGGGGGAGGGGCTTTACATCCTCGTGGTTAACCTGCTCGAAACCTCATTTAACAGTTTTTCTAAACGTCCAGGTTAACCTTAAAAACGTGGTTCTTATTCCACCATTAAGACGTTTAAGAAGGTGGATCTACCGCTGAGTCGTACGTCATTCTCCACGTTACTTACGAACGCCATGAAAAGCTTATTGAGAGCGTTCGGGGAAAATTGCAGTGAGCATGCACGCGTTCGCAGCCGAGGAGAAATTGCAGTATTATTCAGTGTGTTGTACTTAATTATAGAGATCCAGAGCAGCGAGTGCCTTAGTCATGGGTGTTAAATGAAAGTATGATCAGCTCCTTCACCTAGCACTCTGAGCCTGCCATTAAACACAGAGGCATTATGGGTGAAAATAGAAGGTGTAACAGTGATGCCTCAGCAAGCCGCTGAGGTAAATTAGACTAATTTACTCGCCGCTCTCTGAGAGAGGAGGTGGGGACGCGGGGGCGCACAACACTTCTCCGGGAGTAAATGCATCTTTCTTAAGGGTGTTTCCAGGTTTTAATTATCTAAATGTAAATACTTAACGAATTTTACTCAGAGTAATGAGCTCAAGTGTGCACTACGTAAATGAGTTATTCTAATTAATCATGTATGAACTCCTGGTTTACCGAAAAGCTGTTTAAATTCGCTCGGCATTAGGAGGCCGGCCAAATTACTAAACTGCAATGATGACCTCAGCGGTTATGTCGTCAGAGTAATTCATGAAAAACACGTTATGATGGCGAAGGTTCGGTGAAACGATGAGCAGACTTCAGGAGTCCTGGGGAGGTCTCTGGTCTCACTCTGGACCCTCTTTCTCTCTGTCACTCTGCAGGCGTGCAACGAATTCACGACCCACGTGATGAACCTGCTGAGGGAACAGTCTCGCACGCGGCCCATCTCCCCCAAAGAGATCGAGCGTATGGTGGGAATCATCCACCGTAAGTTCAGCTCCATCCAGATGCAGCTGAAACAGAGCACCTGTGAGGCTGTCATGATCCTGCGCTCCAGATTCCTCGATGCCAGGTCAGTGGATCTCATGTGTGTGTGTGTGTGTGTGTGTGTGTGTGTGTGCGTGTTGGTATCTAGAAACTTTTACTTCCTCCAGATGACCCATATAAGCTCACCCAGTGGGCGAGGTCATTGTCAGGTCTGAACTTTGTGTTTTTTCGCTCCCACTTTTCTGGCACACGACACAGTGTGAGCTCTGCAGAGACGCATGATTTAACCGTGTCCACGCTCTGCGCATGATCCATCCTCCAGACAATCATGCCCCCAGCACCTGATAGCAGTTAAGACCAAATGAAACAGGGGGCCGAGTCCCGGGTAATGGATGGAGGGGAGGTCATCAGCAGGTGTTTGGGATTAATCTAATCACTAGCAGCATGGTGCAGCGAGGGGCTCTGCAGAGAAGGGGGCACAAGTTGGAGGCCAAACAAGCCAAGTGGAAGCACATTTGCTGCCTGCTGCCTGTGTGAAGCGCGGTAAACAAGGCAAAATAAGCAAATGCTCAACAACATGATAAGTAGTGCCCTTGGGAGGGAACAGGGACCCAGATCTAGTTAGAGTTTGCTTGTTTCTGCTGCAGATCCCTGGGGCTGTGGCACTTCAGGAACAATGCTCAACTGTGCATGCCGTGATTTCTATAATGCACCGAGATGCACTCCGACTGGGCTTTGCGCTCCATCACAAAGCCCACCCATCCGCTGCACTAAACTCTCCACATTACACGCTTGGACTGGAGATTGCGGACCAACAGACCAAATTAAACATTGTATGTGTTTTGCGACTGTGTGTGTGTTTGTGCGCGCTTGTTATCGGCCAAAGTCGGCTTTGGTCTTCCGTGTGTTTGACGAGACTTTTGGAGCAGGACACGATATCCGGCTCCTGAGGGCCCCGCAGCCCATTCCTCATTATTTTCACCGTTTATGTGTGAGATTGATTGTGCAATTTGTGCGATCCAAATGGATGAGTTAATGCCGGTCCTGGCTAATAGGGCTCGCTCGGCCTTTTCTCTCGTTTTTCCTCTCTCAACCCAGGCGGAAAAGGAGAAACTTCAGCAAGCAGGCCACGGAAATTTTGAACGAATATTTCTACTCGCACCTCAGCAACCCGTACCCGAGCGAGGAGGCCAAAGAGGAGCTGGCGAAGAAGTGCAGCATCACAGTTTCCCAGGTGGGTAGTTGCTCCTCCTTGTACAGTAGCTGGTGGGTAATCAGGGTGGGAAAGCCTAGAGGGATAGTTAGCGTAGGTCGCTCCATTGACAAGACACAATGTCCGTCCTTAGCTAACCTTGACATTGTGGCTGCCTAATGATGCTTCAGTCAAGGCTGGTCCCAGTCAGTCAGAGCGGGGGGCCGCAGGGAGGGGAGGCCTATATCATCTTGGCCTCAATCAAAGCACTATGTTGTCCTTCCTTACGCGGGGTCCCCTGCCATTTTTACCCCTCATTCCCATCCACCATGAGTGCTCTCTGCGGTGGCTGGTCAGCCGCGCAGGTCATAAGCCGGGAAGAAAAATAGCCTCATCCTTTAGTTGAAGAAGAAAAGCAGTTAAAGAAACGCTGCCTGATATTTATTAGGATGTTTTTTTCTCTCTTCGAGTGACCTTGCAGGACTCTGCTAATTCACAGTTAAAGACGCCTCTTTTTCCCACTTCCTAAAAATATAAATATAGATACGACTAGCTTTTCTTCACGGGGGGAACCTGAAGGCAACATCTCTCACACCTAACCCCCCCACATCCAAAAGCCTGATTATCCTTTCCTCTCCTGCTATGATTGTGACTAGACTTTTCTTTCCTACCCTATTGTTCTGTGGTTGTCCTCATGAGACAGGATATGAGAGAAACATGAATCTATACAATAATCTGCAGTGTTTTTTTGTGCTGTGTGGGGAGGGGGTATATTGAGTGTAGTCATGAAGAGTCAGATACTGTAAAAGCCCATTCTTTTTTGCCTTCAGGGGGTGGGAAGCACCATCACAGTATCACAGGTATGTCATGACTTCTCCTGATCCACTGTTTTCATTTGTTTTTCTCTTTCTTTTCTTTTTTTGTTGATGATGTTAAATGATGTTTTAGCCTCACAGTTTTTGCACTGCACAGATCCTCCCTCCCTCCCTCACACCACTGCTACATGCTAATGCTATCATAAACTGCAGTCTTTACCGTTTCTTTGACATGTTTGAAAACGCAGATTACAACTTTTGACATTTCACTTTTAAGAACACAGACTGATCCATGTTTTAAACTACACTCATGTTATTATCACCATATTATTATTATTATTATTATTAATATTATTATGTGTGTACTGATGTGAAACTGTACCTTTGTTTGCTTTGGTTTACATTTGTTTGTTGAAGAACTTGAACTGATTGTGTGGTACTTTCCAATCTCAGTTAATTTACATCCCTGAAGCTGCTGTGTGCTGTGAGTGGTCCCGGACCCTCACAAATGGAGCTCCACTTTGTTATCTGAAGGCCACTGTACTGGTTCCCATGAGAGCGAATCAGTCGGAGCAGAAATTAGAGGGCTTTTAAAAATTCACTTGAACTCATCTCAGGCCCCATTAGTGGCGAGCTGCTGGACGGGCGGAGGCCGCCGCTGCCGCCGCCGCAGACGTCCGTATTGACTTATTCTTAGTGCTTTGGCTCATTTTAAGTGAGTAACAAAGTCAGAGGCTCGACATGACGCCGTAAGTGTGTTATCGCTCATCGGGCCCCGGCCCCTTCAGACTCACAAACGCTACTTTGAGGGCTCGGCTGAGTCATTTTTCAAGCACACCCCTAAAACGCTTGTCTTTTTTGCAGCTTTGTTTATTGCACGAGCAGTTCATTAAGAAAAAAAACCATCAGCAGTGAATGGTATGCCAATATCTGTCTGCAGCTAGGCTCAATACATCATCGCTGACGAAACACTCTGCATCATATTACCAGAAAATACGAGAGACGCTCAAAGAGAGGAAAAACGCTCTGATCTCTGCGGGTCCGATCAGGAGGATTTTAGTCAGACTTAGATTCTCCAGGAGCCAAAAATCACTTAATACAAAATCATGATACTAAGGTCACAGTAAATATTAATTTAAATACAAAGTTTTACAGGTAGTTTATGTCGAATGAGTCAGTTTGCTTTACTTTGTTTTAGAGATTGTACGGTAAACAGACCGACAATCACTGCGATTGTTTGAGACACAGTACAAAGACCAGAGCAGCTTATCTGAGTGTTAATGTTTGGTCTTAAATTATGCAAACTTTGATAAACAGGATAATTGAAAGGTAAATAAGTGACATTTGCATTTTATTCAGACTAAATTTTATTCAGACACTAAAACTCTAACAGGTGTTTGAAAACTTTGATTATCTATTTTATTAATAGATAAGAACTGTGTATTGATAACAGATTACAGAGGAAGATACCACAGTACTGTAGGCCCTCATATCACTGTGTCAGTTATCATTGACTTCAACAAGTCGTATTAAAGACTTTGAGACTTTTTAAAGTACGCAATGAAAACAATTTCAGACCCATTTTACATCTATACTGGAAAAAAAGGACATAAGACATGAGGGGAAATCGAAACATCTTACATTACTTCAAATCAATCTATATTCCTATCGCATATTATTTGTTTTTAAGTTGAGTTAAAACATTTTAATGACCTTTAAAAACATGTTTAAGACATTTTGATGAGATTTTAAAATAATTTTAGACATTTTAAGGCCTTAAATTCAAATGATTGGATTTTAGACACGTACAGAGTCACGTAGATATCTTGATGCAGTTTATTTCTGGACTTGTGAGCGTTGTGTTCAGCAATGTGCAGTTTCTGTGCGGCTGTGTAGCTTTTATTAGCATTATCATACAACCTGAAGGTATGCGAGTTTAGCTCAGCCTGTAGATGCAAAATAAGAATAGAAACTATCCGCTGAGACATGCCTCCCATGTCTGTTTTGTCCACAGGGGGCGCTGAAATCAGCACAAAACTAAAGTTCCTTACAGGAGCTTTAACTAGGCGGAAATTTTGATGTTATATTTTGATGTAAGACGTGTCCTGAATGAAGGCTTGTGATTGGACGGTTTGGTTTAGCGTTTGCGTACACATTGCTAGATAAAGTTGTGGTGTTGGTTGAAGAGTTGAGGTTTTTTCGGTGTACGGTTGAAGATTTAAAGCAGATCCTCACATTTTTCTCCAGAGTGACACTTTTCAATATTTCATAACTCTGTGAATTTAGTGAAGCTTGAGTTCTTATTCATTTTTAATGCTGCTGCCTGTATAATTGATGCTTTCCCAGCCTGTGAGTCCACCTCTGTATGTGTGTTTAAGGCTCAGGGCATTGTAACCCCGGATATATTGGGATCATACACTGATCATGCATTGCCTTACATTGAGTAGCGAGCAGTATTGACCTGAAATAGGGTGAAATAGTTTGAATTATTAAGCAGAGCTCGGCGGCCTCTCTCGTGGGCAGCAGCAGCAGCAGTGTAGGCAGCGGATATCGTGTTCTTGCACAGAGTCTGCATGGTCATTATACAATCGCTGCCTCTGAGGCTGCTGATGTCAGGTAATTCAATCTCACAACCTGGTTCTCACCACACATAGGAGTCAATTGAATGCATGGCCTGCCACAAGATAAAAGGGAATTAGTTCTGTAGATTGGGTTGTGCTCCACACCTTCCAGAGCAGTGCATTTGTTCAATATTTAGCTGAACCCCAGAATCACTAAAGCCAGAGTTCAGTGGGCAGGAGAGAAATGTGCATGTAGGACTGAGAGGGAGAGAGGGAGAGAGAGAGAGAGGGCTGGAGTAACGTCCAGAATCTACTGCCAGCAGGGTCTTGTAACACCATGTAGTGGCAGAAAACAGTCATAGCACACTTCATCAGAGACTCAATAATAAGAACATTTTAAAGAAACATACAGAAACATAATAAACTGCTGACATATCTGTTAGAGGTGAACTAATCTGCAGCTGTCAGCTCTCAGGATTAACGTTGAAAATACGTCCTCATGTTGTGCAAACACCTAAACTGACACTTGAATAACTGCAGTTGTGTTTTTTTATTCACTGTTTGCACAACATAGTGTTAAATTAAACAGGATAGTGATGAGCTTTAGAGAGCAGTTTCCCCAATTCCCCGGCTTTCTTCACAGCAGTGTCTGAAAGAGGAGAATATTGCCTGGTCTTTGGCTCCACTATCCACTCTAAGCAGGTTAAGTAAAAAGGATGATGGCCAGGGCTTTCATTGCTTCCAATTAAACCTTGCTTGTTAGTTTAACCTCTAGGTAAACCCATCAAACAATTGATGTCAAGGAAACCCTGCCAACAGTGGGCCTCGCCTGAATGGTCATTAATTTTAATTGCCTAGATATTAAAGATTTAGAGCACAGAGACGTGCAGGATAGAAATGATCTGATGTCCTGCAAATCCAGTCAGTTTTCACGCCGCAGCATCAGCGAGCTGCTGGGGATATTAAAATTTAAGCACATGGGTGGAAATTAAATAAAGCGTCATTAGGGGCAGCTGCTCTTTGGCTGGTCCAGCCGTGGGCTGCGGGGCCTGAGAAGGACGGGGGGTGGGAGGGTGGCGGCGGTGGTGTAGGGGGCGGCGGTGCAGCGACAAGACACTCTAATTTATAGAACCATTAAAAACAAGCATCACCTCATTATTATTCCACGGTTATTGCCGAGCCAGCACTCACACATAAGGTTCACCCTGTACAAGTTTTCAGTCTGACTGATGCGGAGTGTCATCATCTCAGTTCAACAGAATTAGCATTTCCAGCTGCACACGGTCTGAATACGCCCACTTTCACAGCTCAGGACTACCTTCACCTGAGAGTGTGTGTTAGAGACACAACACAGGAGGTGAAGGAGGAAACTACACCTGCTGGAAACGGAAGATTAAAAACACCTCGAGTATCTTTACATTTGGATTTAATAATCGACTGAAAACTAGATTTTCACGTCCACATCAGAAGAAGAGAGGATGATATTGTCAGATAAATACATGAAAATTATTGATCATGACTCACAGGACCTTTTTGTCCTCGTGGGCCACTGTTGCATCTGGATTTAACACCAGAAGAGGTGAACAAGAGAGCATCCAAGTGTTGATTAGATATTTTTAAAGACACACTGGACCTTTAAGAGTTTGATTTAACATTTCTGTTTTATTCTAATCCCTGAAAATGTCTAACTCTTTTTTATGAATGAGCACAAACAGCAAAAGCAGCTTCTACCATAATTTAGTGTCCTCACACTCACACACATGTTGTATTAATGTTTAATTCTTTAAAGCTCCTGTGAGGAACTTTAAAGACAGTCTGTGTCAGCTTGTGGTTTTTGTTTATCTCGTCCTTTACATGCTTAGTTAGGGACTTATGACAGTCGATCAGATTATTTTTTATGATTATTCTTAGCAGTAACTGTAAAAACAGGCCTACAAATTCACGTCAGCTGATACCTACCCCCCACACACACACACCTAATTAAGCCACAGAAAAGTGGAAAATCAAACTCATCAATCATGTTGCTGATCGTTTCATTTGCTTTTGGACATCATGACGAGGTATAGATATGAATTTTAGTCAATTTCATATATGTAAAAAAACTCCTCACTGGAGCTTTAAAATAAATCTGTTCCGTGACCAAAACGAACCAAATCCAATTATAAAGAGGTGATTTCACTGAAGCTAAAGTCTGATTTTTTTCATATTGAAGGTTTTTCTTTTATTTTACATTTGAATGTTTGTGCTGTAAATGACCTGAGGGTGTATTTGCCTCTTATATTTCATAATTCAACATTTCCATAAGGTGTCAGTCACTCTGACTCACTGATCTGGAATCAGTGAGGATTCCTCCGAGGGTAAAAATACGAGCATTGACATATTTCACAGAGGGATTTGCATCTGTAACTATCAGGAGGAGCGCTCTGTATATGTTACACCGACTTTAGTGTGTGTGTGTAAGTGTGTGTGTGTGTGTGCGCAGTCGGAGCCCCTTGTGTTTTAGTTTTGTCTGGAGACACATCTGAGAGCATGTCATGCTCCCATCCATGAGAAGACACGAGTGGCTCCTGATTACGGCTTAATTAGCTGCTGTACCCGGCGGACATTACTGCAGGGGCTGGGAATTGGGTACTTGATGGACCCAAACATGACATCTTGAAACAATCACACTGCTCAGTGCACGCTGCTGTGGCTGCTTGACGTCTGACTCCTCTGCTCCTCCTCCCTCTGCTCTCGCACACAGGTATCCAACTGGTTTGGCAACAAAAGGATCCGGTACAAGAAAAATATCGGCAAGTTTCAGGAAGAAGCCAACCTGTATGCCGCCAAGACCGCCGTAAACGCGGCGCATGCTGCAGCCGCTGCAGTGCAGAACAGCCAGGCCAACTCCCCTACCACACCCAACTCCGGTAGGCCTCTCTGCATTTAGACAAAAACCAGATCTGCCCTCTACCTCAGCTGTTAACCTGCTGCCTACCTACCTACCTACCTGCCTCACTCTCTCATGCACCATTCACACAGAGAAGAGTGACAGGCTCTGCTCCCAGCTCGGGGATCACAGTGTCTCCTGTCTATAAGACGGTTGATGCCGAGCAAACTCATGCATAAAGACAGCCTTCCTGACTCCTGAACCGAGAACATATGTATTTTTGGGCAAAAATAGAAACGCATCAGAAAGATGCCATGGGATTTGTTTTTCCCCTTGACTTTCTGTCAACTCGCTGTCATTTCTAATGTAATGGTATGTAGCCGCACTGAACAACGGGAGGGTTGCTTTTTCTGCAAGATAAAGTTAGAGATAATGGCTGGGAGCATTTTAGGTACAGTAGACTATCTATCTCTGAATGCATTCATACTAAGAGTAAGAGTCATGAGGGGGGGCATGTTTAGTCCACTTTAAAGATGAGTGATGTAATGCTGAGTTTGGACTTGGTTGACCTGCGTCTGGGTGTGGTAAGCTTATGAAGTGGTCCCTTTTTCTTGCACCCAGGATTCCAGATGAAAGATGAAGAGTTTCAGCTGGATTCTGCCGAGAGCAAAAACACTCTTTTAACCAACATGTTTACTGGTACTGGTCTTTTCATAAGCTTCTTATTGTCCTCCTTGTCATTTACCATGTGATACCTCCCTGCCAAAACCTTAGATTGGAAGTTGGTGATGTGGAACAATTGGGAGCTTAGGCGACCGGTCCCTCTTGTGTCATGTGATTTTCATTTCATTTGTGTCCACCGCATTCGTAGAAAGAAATAGATCCTCTCGAGTCTCTCTGCATCTCCTCCTCCTCCTCCTCCTCCTCTGGTTGTTTCTTTGCCTCCCCTCCCTCCTTCCTTCCACCCCTGTAGTTGCTTGCTTTATTATCGGGCTCCTCATCCTTTAGTGTATTTTTCTGTGTGCGTGGTGTGTGTGTCTCTGTGTGTCTGTGCTTTCCCTTTATAGCCTTCTCTCATGTATTCAGCTACTTACATCCTCCCTTTCCAGGTTCTTCAGGTTCTTTTAACCTCCCAAACTCTGGGGACATGTTCTTGAGCATGCAGAGTCTGAATGGGGATTCTTACCAAGGGGCACAAGTCGGAGCCAATGTACAGTCACAGGTAGGATCCACAATCGGGGGACAGTTCCTGACTCTAGCAGTGCAGAGAGCTGTCCTTGTCTTGCCTGTGTACTGAGCCATCCACAGTGCAGTCTGAAGCACAACCAAAAACAGACCAATGAGAACAGAAACTAAGACGCTGCTGCAGTTCTAGACAAACAGCATCCCGGCCCGCTAAAAGAAGTCCGATTGGCCCGAGTGTTTACCGACTATTTCGCTTTGGATGGAATATTTTGGCAGCCAAAATATGATCCCACCCCACAAAACAATTCACTGGTTTCTATTCCAAACACCTCCAGTAAACTCTGAGTGAATGCATTTGGCTTTGACTTGAACTCTTGGGTTGGTATTTCTGGGTTTCTGGTACTGTGTTTCCCCCTTTTTTCTGTATTTTGATCCTGTCTCATCTCGTTATTGTGTGTTTGTTGACGTCTCCCATTCTGTTAGTTTAATGCAGCTGACGCACAATCACTGCCATGCACATAGACAACAAAAATACACACACACACACACACTGCTGAGTCATGACTCAGGTTAAAACACACACACACACAGACTTCTGCAGCAGACACACCAGCATGCTGGTTAAGTCAGTTTGCTTTTTCCATCATTACAGAAACATTCGAGCTGATTTCACACTTTAGTCAGAACCTGTAACCTCACTGAGCATGTGCACAGTTAGTGTCGTGGCCGGCGCCCGGACTCTGAGCTGACGGGCTTGTCCACCTTGTCTGTCCCCTCAGGTGGATACCCTGCGCCATGTTATCAGTCAGACGGCAGGATACAATGATGCTCTGGGGGGAAACTCCATGTACAGTCCACACGGATTAAATGTAAGTAGATGTTCACCTGTCATCTATTTGTTCCAGTAAATACTGTCGACTCTTTCTGCTGCTTTTATTTCTATGATGGAGAAACGACCGTGCGTTACTTTTGAATAACGTGATGACAGAAGTTTTCAGAGGGAATCTAAACTAGGGTTGTCCCGATATGATATTGATATCAGATATCGGTCTGATATCAGCCAAAAAATAAATATCGGATGATGTCCTGCATCTAAAATCTATATCAGCACTCCAATACAAGCAATCCATTCCAGACTCCAGCACCTATTGCTAGCATGCAGAGCCCACGTGATCACAACAACAGTGTGTACAAAGGTACAAACAAAGCAGTAAGGAGCAGGAGTGATGTTGGACATGTGGCAGTATTTGTTGTTAAAAGTCAGATAAAGACGTTGCAGCTGAGTAAAAAACTTGTCATGCACAAGTTTGTGCCAATTGGATCAATATCGGTATTGGCCGATACTGAAGGATACAATATCGGTATAGTATCAGAAGTAAAATGTTGTATTAGCACACCCCTAATATAAACTGATGTTTCAAACAGCTGAGGGAATTTCCTTCACTAATAAAAAGGTTGTAGAGACACAGACAGGAGCTGCACAGACATAAGGGCCCCTAACAAAGAGAGCTCTCTGCTGCACTGATGGACCCTCACTGTTTCATCTTTAGGGGGCCTTTTATACTCAGTACCTCCCTCAAATCCACCCTCATGACTCTCAGCCAATCAGTCTTTATTTATAGAGTACTAATTCACAACAAGTGTTATCCTAAGACAATGAACAAAAAAGCTGGTCCGAGTGGATCAAGATGTTGGAGTTTAAACTTGTTATTAAACTCAGAACTTGTTAGTTTTTCATTCAGATATTAACATATATTATTATATATATTCAGATATATTAAAACGTTCACAAGATATTATATTTACGACTTATAAGACTTCATAAAATGTCACTATAAGTTGTTATGAAAGCGTTAAATCACCTTTAAAGTCTCACTATATTGTTGTATTTAGTCAAATTTAAAACAGCAGCAACAACAATACTGAGTTATCAGCCGACCTGTCCTCACATGACTGCATCAACACTGACATCAGCCGGTCACCTCACTACGGAGGAAGACTAGGGCCACTGAGAAAAAAAAGAGGTCTGATATATAAATTTTAAAGAATTATTATTCAGAGAAAAAAAGTCTGAAATCAGACTTCAGCCTCAGAATTCAGACTCTGTGTTTCATCAGAGTTTCTTCTACAAAGACTTAAACCTCCATGAGGGATCTGTTGGTCTCTGGTCTCCTCAAAGTCCTGGTTTCTGTAAACTCAGACTGAAACCATCAGGTGTGGTTCGTTTGTCACCTGATCTCTCTTTGGTTAAAAACACTTTCAGTCGTCTTCTGCCTCCGACCTCAAACAGGCTGAAACCAGAGAAGCTGAATCCTGTTTTGAAATGCTCCACAGAATTTCCCGTCGCCTTATCTCGGTGATAAAATACGAACATGTGATCGCCTGCAGCTCCTTCCAGACATGAATCCCATCTTCCTTGATGAGGTTTGATATGGCGCCTTTTTGTAAAGCAGCACGTAATCTGCAGCTATCAGGGTAAAGATTAATTTGGTTGATGAGAGGATGAGGAGAGAGGAATATCATCAGACAGCAGCTTTCTCTGTATCAGTGTGTTTGCTCCCTTCATATTGTCATGCCTGTTGGGTATAATACTCGCAGATTCACAGTCTAATATTATTTAAAGCTTCGGCGTCAGAAATGAGGCGTTAGTGTTACTGGAAATGAAAAAGAAAGTGATTTTCTGCTGAGAGAAATTAACACTTTGGATGTAAACAAATGGAGGAGAGGAGGGGGAGGGGACTGAGTGACGCCGGCACTCTCTGCTTTCGGTGTCATTTTGGCTTTGCTGAAGCCGTGTTGCTATAAGCTCTTTAGACATGTCAGCTCCTACCAGGATCAAGTGTTTTTCACTTTCTCACAAGGTTTCTCACTTCCATGCGCGGAGCAGACCTGTGCCCACTGGCTCAGCGCGGCTCAGTGTGATCCTCACTAAAACAGCAACTGACGGCGCCGAGCAGCCTCCACACACGGGAAAAAAAGAGAGAAACAGAGACAGTAATAACGGCGTCTGAATCATCCCAAAGATCCTGTTTGGTTGGCAGAGCCCTCAGTGCGCTCTACAGATGTATTAGCATAGCCTAACCTTTAGCTTTGTTGGCGGTGACGTAGAAGGATCCAGTAAAGGCTAGGTCACGCCTGGAGCGAGGCAAAGTCAGGCTGGCTAAGACTGGCTCTCTGGGAGAGGCCCTGCCCTGTCACTTCCACTCAGCTCTCCCCACCTCACCCGGCCCCGGCCCTCCCTCTTCCTGACTGACAGCAGAATATGTAGCGACAAGCTGTCGGCCGCTGCAGAAATCTGCTTAGACGCTGATTTCAGGGAGAGCTCCCATTGGCCGGGACACCAGACAAATTTGTTTGTGAGAGCGTCTTTGCTGATGCTACTGTAACGCCGAGGACTAATCACGCGGCGTCAGGGTGCGAGGGGCGTCTTAATGTCAGCTGACACGAGCAGCATCCGTGTCTCCGTTCCATTTTTGGAGTGTTGTGTTTCGTTTTGGGAGTGAAAATGTGTTTGTGCGGATCGTGTTGCAGAGAGCGTGATTGTAATCTCAACCTTCTCCTATTTGTGTCCCAGGCTAATGGAGGGTGGCAAGATGCAACGACTCCGTCTTCTGTAATATCTCCAACAGAAGGACCAGGAAGTGTGCACTCTGATACCTCGAATTGATCCGCTATTAATGCATCTTGGCCTCCAGCTGGGAAAACGGACTCTTTTAACGACACATGAAGAAAAAAACAAACAAAAAAAAAACAGACTTTTCTCTTTCTGATTTGTTTCCCTGTACGTTCAAAAATTCACTCAAATTACAGACGACCTGACAGTAAGTGTTTCCTGATTGGTCGGTGGTTTCTTTCTGTCCTCATACATCATTATCATGTGTTTATTGTAGGGGTAAGCACACACACGCACACTCGCACACAAACACACAAACAGATCTGGACTTCCTCTGACTCTGGATGACACTCTCCTTTTAATTTCTCTGATTTCTGATTTAATTAGCGCTCTCGTCGGCGTCCGTAATTACCGCTCTCATTCATTCACTTCCTATAAAACATAGATTAAAGCAGCTGTTTCTTTGACTGTAATGTGCTCGCAATCTTGTCCGGCGAGTCAACAATGCTAGCGCTGACAGCTCAATGGCAGCTTTGTAGTTCCTTTCAAGATTTATTTTTGCCTTACAGCTGTATACATTAGTCCAAGGAAATCACTATTCAAAGTCTGCCACATAAAGGAGTGTAATTGATTGCTTGACTTTAACATGACACCATTCCATATTTTATAATTTGATGTTTAGTATGTACATATGTAAACATTTTTTTTGTACTGCTTATCAAACAAACCCCCCCACTCTCCCCTCCGACAGTAGATCATCCCGTCACCACGCGCAGGAGCCGCCACCGCCGCCGCCTTCGCCGCGCCCGTTACACAGGAAAAGTTGTACATAATATAGCTTAAGAGTAATTATACATCCCACCAATCAATACGCAGCTTTATTACCTCATACGAAGTCACACACGGATCATTTCTGTCATTTCTGTAGCTTAGAGTGCTCACTTACTACCTCTAAACAACGACGTCATCGGCGCCACTCTTTCTTTGCCCTTCGCTCACCTTTTTATGTCCTTCATTTGACCCCCGCCCCGTCCTGTAACACTGTAAACTCCTCATTCTCTATGTAATCTAATGTATATTTTAATCTTTTAATAAAATGCTGCGGCAGCACGGCCGCGTAAAACCACAAAAATAAAACAATGAAAATGATAACGATATTAATACCATGAAAAATGGAGAGGGGGGAGGGAGGGAGGGAGGGAGAGGAGGGGAGGGGAGGGGGGAGGAAGTAGTTGGTGTGTGGCTTTTACGAGGGTGGGGGTCGGGGGGGCGATGATGAACATTGTTGATAAATTAACAGCAAACAGTGAAACTGTTGTAAATAGTGAAGAAGAAAAAAAACATTTTGAATGTTGCTCATCTTGTTACTAAATCATGCAAAAAAAGAAAACGTCACTCTAAAAAGTGTAACGCTTAGAGGTTTCAGTATTCAGAAGAACTGTACATTCTCCGCCGCTCTGTCCAACAGGGCGCAGAACAAACTCCTTTTTCTCTTTTTTCTATTGTATGTGATTCTGAAACTGAAAAAGTCATGACCAATGATTTGTGGCAGTGATTCTGATGTATTAAAGATGATGATGATGATGTTTAGTGTTTCTTTCTAACCAGACTACACCCTGGACTGAAAAGTCTTCCTTGTGGTAGTTGTGTAATTTCAAACATGAATAAACCTTTTGCTTTCATGACAGCAGCGGCGCCTCGTGTCTCTTTACCTCGTCTTCGATCTCGGGTGTTTATCGTTCACAGGCTGCAGTTATCTATCGCTGCACACGTGAGCTGAAGGTAAAGACTTAACCTGGTTTGCAGCTACTGTCGCGCTGACATGGTTAGTGCAATTAACTGAAATGTCAGGCACTTCTAATTCAGGCTATTTGGTCTGTCTGTTGTGGAAAGGCTGCCTTAATGGATCATTGGTTACCAATTCCACATGGAGATTGACATCCATTTATCCTCATTTTCTCTGCAGAGACTTCTTCATTCCTGTCTGCCTCCTGAGCTCACGTCCACTCTTTGTGTCTCTCACTCATGAACACCCTCCTGGACTTCACTTCATATCTCTGTCCGACTTCTCCGACGAAAATTGCTGTTAAATCGTCGTACATTATTTCTATAACACCAAACTTGGAGGGATTGCAGAGCAGACCGATAAATTATCTGCCTACTCACGCTGGGGTTTACTTAGACTTTTGACAATAACAGTAACAATAACAAATTAGATTTTTTCTGTAATTTATCTGATACAATTCGAGCATTATAAAGGTCACATATCACCTTTTCATAGACACCAGTTGAAACAGTTGATAAACTATTACTTTGGTGTGTAATTTCAGGTGGAAATATCCCTGAAATAGCTCAGGGTAGGCCTGGGTGATTTGGCAAAAGTAAAAAAGATCACGATATATTTTGTCATATCGTCCGATCTCGATTATTATCAAGATTTTTTTTAAACTGCCCGTTTTAAAGCAAAAAAAAATATAAAAAACATTTTAACTCAGCAGTACAACAAAAGTAGATAAATACTAAATAATACAGTGAACTAGTTTACAGTCCTGAGTGTTTCTGCCCCCTCAGCGATAATGAAGACGCCTTAAAATGTAAACATTAGATTGATGTAATCGAACTGAAATTTATCACGATCATTGATCAGGGTCCAAGTGGTTAAAAACTGACTTACATGTGATGTGTAATTTTGGGGGAAATATGGTTCCTGTAATAGTCAGTCAACAATCATAATCCTTCAACTGTTTCACTGGAGTTAAAAATGCAGACTAAAGATCGAGAAAATCGACAATATCGTAGAATCGCAGAAGAATCGAATCAGGAGAAAAGCATATCCCGAGTGCAGATCATCTCAAACTTATTCAGAGGACGATCACTTAAAGAAAGAAGAAGATGTAACAGCAGAGAGGGTTTAAATCAAGCGCAGAGCACAGACGGTGTCTCAGGAGAGCAGATTTGTCCACTCAACCAGTGCAGAACTTCATCCAACACCTCTCTTAGAAATCACGTCTTTATCCTGAAATCATCATAGACTCACAAACGCTCAGAGAGGATGTTTTTATGTTGTTATGATATCCTCATTTTCTACAACAATAACTGAATTAAAGGTAATTCTACAAACATTAAGAGAAGTTCATTTACTCCATGGCGATTGTTTAGCATAATTACTCTCTGATAAAAATGGAGTGTGTATATGAAGACTACTGTACTCTAATAACAGCAGGCCTGTCGTCTCTGTTCTGTCGTCCTCTGCTGTGTGGATTACAATCTATTTGCTCACTCTACCTTCTCAAATAGACACATTTGCCTCCTCAAGACTTCAGCGATTGGATTTTAAGCACCGCACTCAGCAGAATTGGCCTCCGAACCTTTTAAATAAAGAAGTTCGGTTTTCTGAGATTATGCCTATTAGGGATTTTCCTAAGGTTCATTAAGGACGACATTTTCTAAGTAAAATTCACCATGAAAAGCATGCATCATTAAATATGGAAATCTAGAGTTATATTAGCAATATGCACATAGCCAGTGCCAATTAAATTAGAGAAAGATATCATTTATATTATTAAGGTGGAGTTCATATTGAATTAAAGAGAAAATGTGATTTTTTTAGTTTGATTTATAGCAGATGGAGAATTGTTCACAGACCCGTGTTAGACTTTTATTCTAATGCAGAGGCTGTTTATATTCAAGAGTAGAAACTGGAACCACATCAGACCAGGACGTAATTGAATTCTAAGGAGGTTCATAAGCAGAAACATTTCTATATTTAAACTCTAAATATGAATAATGTTGTACAATACGATCTTTAACTATAGTTTGAATTATAGAGTAACGCTAAACACGATCAAACAAGTTTGTACGAGTCCAAGACAATAAGCAATAAAGAGCACTTGTGTGATTATTGATCATAAATCTGCAGATTTTCATCTATTAGAGAGAGCAGACCTCTCACATGTTTGTGATGGAGAGTATTAGACTGACTCAGAAACACAAACAACATCTGAGTTTACTGAGCAGGTCCAAAGATTCAGAACCGCAGAGACCAACAGAGTTACAGAGAGAGAGAGAGAGAGAGAGAGAGAGAGAGAGAGAGAGAGAGAGAGAGAGAGAGAGAGAGAGAGAGAGGGAGAAAGGAGCAACAACTGAATAGAACTCTAAAAGTTTGATTTCAGCTTTAAAGAAAAGTACAAATGAGAAATTCAGAAAACTGCAACAGCACACAGACGCAGGTTTAGAGAATAAACTCTACACTTTGAGTATCTAGAGAATGGTGTGTAATATTAATGACAAGATCGAACTGACAGGCGTTAAAATAAAGGAAACGTACCATCGGGCGTGCACAAACATGAATTTAGCGCACAATAATCACTTTAGTTTTTACTGTCATATTCTCACACTTTATTTTACTGTATTTTACTGAGAGTTGTCCATGCATATGCCAGCGCTTAAAGCTGTAAACAACAATATAACATGTCTTTAAATCATTATGTTTACATACTCCACTGTGGAGGAGTCAGTTTGTTCTCAATCAGAAGGTCAAGGGTTCGATCCCAGGTCCCACATGCTGAGGTGTCCTTTATAAAGACACTGAAACCCGCCCGCGTTAAACACAGAGCAGCCTCAGCCTGCAGTGTGTGAATGTGTTATGAAAGGGTGAATGAGACAGAAGAGCTTTAAATGGTCAGAAGATCAGAGACAGAGAGAAACAAACAAAGTCCATGTAGTCCATCCACAAGTCTCCATTACAGTCGAACCTCGGTAAGGCAGTCGTGATTATTACAATATTCGCCAATCACAATTAGTTTTCATATTCGCGATCTCCATCAATTATTTATTTTATCCACAAAGTCGACTAAAATAACCCTGAATCTGAGTCTGATGCACACACTGTCGCAGCCACACATACAGAAATCAGAAACAGTGGGAAATAAGTAATAATATTATAATATATAATATTCAGTCATGTGTATGGTTCTTTTTTGGCCCCCCTCCCCTGCAGGGTTGGGCCACCCCTGTTGAAGAGGTTGGACACGCCCCTGTTAGAGGCCTTCTAGCTGCCTATTTTAAAGGCTGTATAAAAGCCAAAACACTGACCCCTCTGTCTGATCTCAGTCAGATAATAACAGTTTTCTTTGTTCGGTTCCTCACACAGACTGAGACCTGAGCCTCAGACTCACTCCAGTACTTTGATTTAGTGAACAGCAGCTCTATAATGGAGCTCGGACTTCATGCACTGATCTCTGCAGCAGCAGCAGCAGCTCTCACTTCTATTAAGAGATGAGTCCTGAGTGGCCTTTGAGCTTAAAACAGTGGAGTTAATTAACATTTGATCCTGACTCTCCTTACATCTTTACAAGCTCATTTTCAATTTCATTTCCCTGCGTTTTGGTGCCTGAAGATCGCTTCAGGATCAGAGTGGAGCCTCATCTCTGAACCCATGCTGGCTTATCATAGCTTGTTGGGCAGAAGCAGGCATGTGAAGGCTTGTGACAGGAGACAGATGTTTGCCTTACCTCTTAGCAGACGCGTGTCAGCGAGCGAGGGGGCTGCCTTTGTGCTGCTCAAATATCCTGATACCAAATCTGGAAAAAAAAAGAGAGAGAAAACACGCAGCTGTAAATGTCTGTCTGCCTTTTTCTTTATCGTCTTTATTCACACACAGACAAGAGCTGCACAAAAACATGACAATATTTACATCAGGCTTTATTAAATTCATTAGCGCTCTTCTTCATGATGATGTTGTGGGCTTTTCTCATTAGACAGACAACATGAATTTAAATATAAGAGGCTGATAGAGATGAACTTAAAGAGTAAAGCAGCAGCGTCTCTGATCAAACTGGTTTTACTCATGAGTTAAGAGGAAACACAAGATCCTGGGCGGGTTCATTCAGTCTGATTGTTCACCTTAATATGTGTGTTTGTGTGTGTGTGTGTGTGTGTGTGTGTGTCATTCCCATTATACACTAATACAGGAGGTGTGTGTTTGTGTGTTAGAGGTAAAGGTGTTACACAAAGAGATAAAACCTCACAACCTGAAACTCTAAAACTGACGTCTCCGCACTAACAGGAAGTTCAGGTGTTCCTTATGCAGCAAAATCTCATCTGTTAAGTTAATAAACTTTAAAATATGTATAAGTATACTACTTCTCATACATGTTCAACCACAAGTACATGAAGCTACAGTTTAAGGGACGAAAGCAAAGGATGATAAAAAAGGTAATATTTTGGTGCTCAGTCAAAGATAAAGAGTTTTTATTGATTAAAATGAAACAAAAAAGGAGAACTACATTTTGACTCGTCATGCGGCTTTAAATCACAGACCTGCTCAACAACAACAAAGAAATCCTGTTGGATATTCATGAGACAAAATAACAGAAAATATCATCACTGCTAACTTTAAGGAATAATGACCATTAGTGACAATATTTATATGACTAAAAGGTTCATCCAAAGTTTTTATTTACAATTTGAACGAGGTAAGAACTTACAGAGGACATTTTATTTTATAATTTACATCCAGGTGACAGTTTTTACTCTTTATTCACTAAAAATGATATCCGCAGGACTCTGTTTTGTAATCTGTATACTGGAAAAGCATCCAGAGGGCACTTTTATTTAGTGTATAAACTGAAACGCAATTTTTTACAATTCACGCGTATACTGGGAGAGCACCCAAAGAATAACTGTCTT